GAATGCTACAGCGGCAACATTCTCAACTACACCGAACGGTCGACCTTTTTCGTGGCTTTTATCCACTAGTTGTCATATCAAAGGAAAACATATGACTAGGTCTTGCTTTAAAAAAAAATAAGATTAAAGCAACATTTGCTGCTGAAACCATGAGATACTTTCGAGGAACTTTGCGTTTTAATGAGGCCAAGCAAGCTGAATGCCGCATGCAATTTTAAATTAAGTGCGATCCACTATGCGTTTTAAGGGTGTGATGAAAATCGATGCTGAAGAAAACCCATATATGATGTTAAGTATGCATTCTTATTGCTGATTGGATATTCAGTTACTTCACGAGTTTCAATGGGAATTTTCACATGTTTTAAGATACTTATATTCATCGAACATCTGTAAAAATCGATACAACATGATAAAATATAACCTGCGAGAATCAAATTAATACTTAATTCATAAATAATTTTGTAACACCTCGTAATGTTCTTTGCTGTATTATTTCTCTTTAATGGTAATCGTTTACAGAAAGGAAGCATATCTCTGTTCATGTTCACGGCCTTTCATATGTCGGTGTGTGGTTTCGAAAAGTAGTGCTAGGAGAGCTCTCTTTGATACTACACATTTGTGGGTGAGGGGTTAAGTAGTTCTGGACAAAGGCAAACAATACACAGTCGTTGACGGAATTAATTTTAGAAAACAAAAACGCCCCAAAAACAAAAGGAAAAAAATCACACTGCACTTGTAATACGTTCTGAGAAAAGGGCATCCAAAAACTGCAAAACTCGTGACGTAAAAAAACAAGCATTTATAGCAATGTTACTTGTATAGTTGTTTGATCAAAGGGATGCTAAATGCGTACGGACAATCGCGGAAGCTTTCCAATATTGTCTGCTGCGCATGTTTTGCTCCAGTAAATTAGGGCTGTGAGAAACTCTGGAAACTATATAGCGCAATATTTGTCAACGAATTACCAACGTTTTGATTTAGGGAATCGGATGAAACACATTTCCTTTGACTGAACGTAGTTTTTGCCAAAGTCCTTTGATTTTTGACGGGCCTGTTTTATAGCCTTGTATATAAGACGCTAATCTAGATCCGAGACAATTCTTTGAAATTAATGCACCAAACTGGAGTAGTTGAATTATCGGTGCACTTGACGTTGTACAATGTAGAGTTGATAAAGCACAACGTTATTGCTGTTTTATGAAGTTGAATTAAGCTTGCTGAGACTGATGACTGGTTTAAACTGCCTTCCCCTGTTAACTGATCTTAAAAACTACAAGCAAGTAAATATTTAGACGCCTCAAATAATGTTGGTGTTTTATGTTTAAAAGGTGCTATAAAGAAAGTTAATGAAAAATGTTATTGCGTTATCGAAAGCTCGTTTCTCAACAACCTGGACATGGTTTATGACTGCATCGGTGTTTAAATAGAGGTAATGCCTGCCAATTTTGATTATCAAAAAGGATTTTCTATCGAAAAACCGGTTGAAGATTGGTTTCGATCTACAACAGTATCACTTTTAGGGGTTATGGGGTTTATTGAAGTATTTTCGACATTTTGTTTATCAAATATTTCCCTTAATATGTAGATAAATGAAGTTAATCCTGTCGTCGCCCCGATCAGCGCAGAGCAGTATGCCCCAATATTGTAGAACACCTCCGTCGTCCATGTCAACCCGACTGACAGCAAAGTCTACCCAGACTTCATCGTCAGTGTACCTCTCAAAGTGAGGTGTTTGTTATTGCCCATTTGCCCTCCGTCAAAGAAGTTTTTGACTGTCTCCTGCTACACATAATCCTATGTTAAACATCCCTGGCGTCGACTTCAGAGGGGGGGGGGGGAGAATCAATCACTTCCACACTGTCCAACCCCCAGTTTTTGTTTCTGTTTACCTATAAATCGATTACTTGATAAACGCAGGTTGAAGTTTGTGGTAGGTTTGTATACTTAGGTTCCACAGAAAAGTCCCCATCAATCATATATTTTATGAACTCCCAATATCTCTCTTCTACCGAGTTTCCACATCACAGGATAGAAAGACAATGCTATGGCAATATACTATTTAAACGCAAGATGCCACCACCAAGTGTATTTCTTCTTTGTGGTTGTTTTCGTAAAACACCAGTAACTGTGCATCTTTCACTTAGAGCATAAAAGGAAATAAAATTAATCTTTGCGGGATAATATTTCTCATTTTGTAATTCCGCAAACCTGGTGTTTATTTCTCAAATCTCGAACGTTTGTGGTAACGGTCCTGTCATGTTTAGAACGGAACCAAAGCAACTCTGTCTTTTCTATTAATCCAATCATTAATTTAGCACGTTTCAACAAAAAATAACAAGTCAAGCTGAACTCAAATGTCTCCGAATTAAGCCCACGATGACTCAAATTAATGAACAAGTGTCATCCACAGGTGTAATTTTGCACCTGACTCAGTTCCTCAGCCATGTTTGTGGTTTTTTGTGCGACAAGCGCTTGAACTGATGGATGGCGAATGAGGGGTAGTGGTAGCCTCTTCTTTGCCCTCGAAGTGACCGTGCTTGGAGAATGATCGCGCCAGGTAGATACGTGTAGCTTTTCCTGAAGAAAAGTGCCTACAACATATCACGAAAGCAGATTTGTTAATTTAAATGGTCAAATAAATATAATATATATAGCTGGACACAGTAGTGAACAAGCAAGCACACCCACACGCGCGCGTACGCACTCACATACACACTCTAGATAGCTACATTCTACATGTTAATAAGGTCATCCCAAAGCTTTTCCCTCCCATTTAAATATAAATAGTTATTCTTTTCCCACCCTGCTATGCTTTATTTGCGTAGAAAATATCTTCCTTGCGTAAGTACATTTCAGGGCTTTCACGTTCGTTTAAAACACGTTCTTTAAAATGGCTAAGAAAGATCTCTTTATTTTTGATAATCAGGCGATCTTCGTGGGAATCTTCAGATGATACACATTTTGTTTAACCAGATGAGATTAACCTTGTTAGCTTTTTGTAGCAGGAAAACAAAAAATACTAACTTGTCACATCCATGAAACGATGCAATGGTAGATACATGTTTCCAGAACCATATTTAGACAACGTGGAACACGAAGGCATCGCAAAACCTCTTGCTCGACAGTCAAAAAGTTATTTTTAAATACTAAAAAATAAGATACACGCATTTGATGTTTAAGTACAATTGAGTACTTTTTTATGCAAGATTCTAACTTGTTCGTGAACCTTGATCAAATGAACACAAACCAGCTTTTTTATTTTCCTAGCTGCCGTAACTTAAGATAGCTTCATCGATTTAATTTAACATAATTAGCTGGTGCTACATGAAGTAGGGCTACTCGTGTGTTGAGACAATTGTGAATACTGTATTTTAAAATAATGGAGGGGTGTCTAGTGCGATTTGACTTGCCGGGCAGTTCCTGCACGCCGTGGCCGCACGGGCAAATCGAGGGGTTGGTGGACAGTTCTAAGGCCAAACCACATCCCCGGCTATTTAACAAAAAATGTGCCGATGACGCTGCAACGTTTTACTTGAANTGAATACTGTATTTTAAAATAATGGAGGGGTGTCTAGTGCGATTTGACTTGCCGGGCAGTTCCTGCACGCCGTGGCCGCACGGGCAAATCGAGGGGTTGGTGGACAGTTCTAAGGCCAAACCACATCCCCGGCTATTTAACAAAAAATGTGCCGATGACGCTGCAACGTTTTACTTGAAGTTTTCTTCGGTTTTTCACGTCGCAGTTGGGGGTATCGATCTTGTCCCATTAGTGACAGCGAAGTTAAGTCCTGGAATTAAGTCTAATCGATTTGTTTAGATTTCTCTACTGTTTAATTGCTAGATAAAGGTTTGTAAATGATGAAATAGCTTGGTATAGTTTCACTGGTCGGTGTCTATTGAATTATGTCTCAGACACAAATGAAGGAGTTTTGGTGTTTCCGTCTAGCTTGTCTCAAATCATCACGAACTGTGCATTGAGACTTTGGGAAAACGTAGCAACAGAATGCTGCTCTTTCTTTGCCGCTACGAAAAGTCATTCGCAACATAATTGTAAGGCAAGCAATCCGATATGGCTCGTTTTAAACTTTATCTGTTACCTGCCAATCTGTTTATCTTACGGTAACTGATCCGTCTGAGACTCAGATTATAATGCCAATAAATGAAAAGAATGCGTTTTTCTTAAAACCTCCACCTTTCTCACATCTAACAATTTGACAATGACTTTGTCAGTGAATCAGTACGACTTGAGTTTTGGAAAATTATTTCCTTTTTCGCTTACCTCAGTTAAGTCCGGGCAGGTTATTCAGTAAACGTTTTATCACAAAAACCCCACGGCTTTCTGCTGATAGTCCATGTTCAGTCTACTCCTCCATAGTAAAAGTTGGGTTTTCTTACCAAAATTTACCAAACGAGTCAGAAATATCAATGAAATACCAGAACGTCGGCCAATGAGAGAAGAGGCCACGCAGTTTTCTTAGACCCAAATCTTACTAAGACGAGGATATAGAGTGGAAAATAAGTCTTCTGATCTGGTCATTACGTACAGATATATCACTCTTTGATAAAATATTCAAAAACAGAAATTCAAAGCTTTTAGGCGTATTAACTGCAAATGTAAAAAAAAGGATAATCTATTTGATTTCTATCATTAATACACGATATATAATATTTACAAATAAAAGATATTGCTTGATATGGTAGCATTATTCGGCACTCGCAGAACCGGGCGTTAATATTTGTTTGATTTTTTTCGACACAGCCCCTGTCGTAAGAAGCAAAATCCGTTTTTTTTCCTAAAACGTTAATTAATTGCAATTTTGACATTTAGTCTTTGTTTCAAAAATTTTGTTTGTTTAAGCGCAAAAAATAAGACAAGAGGATCGAAACTAATAGGCTACCATTTTATTTTTTCAGCTTTTAAAAATACATCAGTCCACTCTATAACCATAATAATCGCCAATAACAGTAAAACCTATATCAATTTCTTTCTTTTTTTTCAGGTTTCAAGGAAACATCGTTTCTTTACGCAATATCGTCTGCGGGCCTCGTCCACGCTTTTTCCCGCGCCTGCAGCCGAGGTCAGCTGGACCGATGTACCTGTGATGAATCTTTCAACAACCAGAAGACCAGGCAGGCGTGGCTCTGGGGTGGCTGTGGAGACAATATTAAATTTGGCTCCAAATTTGCAAGGAAATTTCTCAAAGCGGCCAAAAAATCTGGTCAGGATTTACGTGCCAAAATGGACCAACATAATAGCAATGTTGGGATTAAGGTAAGAGCTTTTTTGTCTGTTTTTGCCCGTTATCTGAAGAAAATGATATTGATTTTTTCATTCATTCTATTTATTCAAAACCACTGGATGACCGTTAGTTAAAAAGAATATTTAAACTAGAAAGCTAATTTGATTTTTTTTTAATCTGCGAATTTAGAAACATTGCAGGCATATGCTTAACTCAAAGGTGTTACTCAAAACAGTTAATTGCGTCTATATACATGTATATTTATGGAAAGACATATGCAAAATAAAATTGGTAATCTATTTGCTATCCATGGAATTCGATTTGATTTGTGAATTAACTATTTTTGTCAATCCATCAGAATATTTTGTGTTATTAAACCTACTTCCCGATAAAAATGAAAACAATAAAAAAACAGTAAAATATCAGCTGCAGACGATCAAGTTAAAAAGGGGTTTGGGTGGGGAAGAAACGTACCGAAATATCTGAATGCATGATATTTATGCCTTGCTCACTTCAATTAACCACAGTTGGTATATATGATGATTACAGTAACCTGTGAGTGAAACACCGTCATTTGATGGATGGGAGTAGAAAACGGCTACAGATGGGCACTTAAAGAGCCCACCACCTTTCCAAAAACCATACTTTGTTCTAGTAGGTTTATTTCGATTTCCCGAGGCAAACGCGTGATATATATGGATCATACTTAATTTGTGTCTGAGAAAATGACGGCGGGGCACGTTCAAGGAACGGGAGAGCGAAATTCTACTGATGGACTATATTGTTTCTTTACTGATACTCGTAACGTTTGTCCGATGTTTTTGTTTAGAGTCGCCGCTGAGCTTTACAACATCATTTTGTTGAGGGATTATATTTTAAGGCGATTATTGATAATAAGTGATAAAAAGTATAAACTCGCACGTGCCGTATACTAATAAATACCCCCTACTAATAACGTAATAAGTGGCAAACTTTCTGTATCAAATTGATGCGAGTTTCGTTCTTGATAAGCAACATTTGACTTAATCATCCGAAATTTACAGCATTTTACTTTCATTGGTTGTTTAAATAAATTCGATAACACTCGCAGACGCTCATAATGACAAGAAATAGTAATGAATATCATTCGGGACAGAAACAAATAAAAAAAGATCCGGAAAATGCATTTGATTACAGTGTTTTAGACGAATTAATAGGGTGTAGTTTACAGCGGGTGTTAGTGAAAGGAGACTGAATCGCAATATAATATTTTTCAATCGAGTATTTCGCACCGCTGACTCACCCTCTACACCTAGATTTATCCATGAATGTCATTTTAATCTTGAAACATTTTGTTATTTTTTGATAAAAATTAAAACATGTATTTTGAAATATAATTCAAAACTTTATTCAATGAACATAAAGTTTTTTATCCCCCAGTCCATGTTGAATAAGTTGTCCAGTACATTCCAGTTTAGAATAATCTCTGTGTCGTTTGCTAACTTCTTAGACGGTCGGTCAAGTCCCTTGTTTGTACACTATCAGTAGGAGTAATGTTAATCCTTAGATTATAGTCGTGAATACCAATAAAACTATAATAAAATGAGATTCATAATAGGCAATAAATAGGTGCTATTATATTGTCGAGTGGCAAAGAATTGCGGATTAAAGTCTCAGAACGTCAGAGGTTGAGACCTAAGTCAACCGCAATACGTGGCCCTCACGATACCAAAGCGATTTGTTTTCGTAATATTTGCCATAAGGTCATTTTTAGAAAGAATTTGATATTTTCGGTACTTAGCCTCTTTTTTATTATCTTTACTGCATGCTATCTTTTTGACTTACGTTTATGTTTTATTTTTCTGGACTTCCAATAAGCATATTATTTTATTTGTTGCTTCATCATAATATTTGTAAAGAATCTTTTTGGATTAGCTTTATATATAGTAAGAATATTTCACAGATACGGAATCATTAAAACAACCATGTTATTATTATTATTATTATTATTATTATCTTAAGACCTGTCATTATCTTTGGTTTGATAATTTATAATATTTTAAATTTCATTTGTATTTACAGGCCGTCAAAGATGGGGTTGACACCACTTGCAAGTGCCACGGTGTGTCAGGGTCTTGTACGGTGCGGACTTGCTGGCGACAATTGGCCCCTTTTCACGAAATGGGCAATAAACTCAAGGACCGCTATGACAAATCCGTCAAAGTTGAACTAAGTAACAATAAGGCCAAAGGAAAAACTCAGCTAGTTCGGAAGAAAAGAAACCCGAATGACGCCGATGTGCGCGTCAAAAGTAAAGAACTGGTCCACATCGAGGAGTCGCCGTCCTTTTGCCGGAAGTCTAAGTACTCAAAGGGGACCCAGGGCCGCGAATGCCAGAAGGAGACACGGAACTGTGACGCTATGTGCTGTGGGCGAGGATACAACGTCCTCAGCAATGTGGTGAAGAAGGCCTGTCGCTGCCAAGTCCAGTGGTGCTGTTACGTAGAGTGCGAACAGTGCGAGACGCAAATGGACGTTCATATGTGCAAATAAAGAGGAGGTGAACCCCAAAAATCTGAAACCTATCTGTCGGATATTTTATTCAATAGACCCGATAACATTAAAAGCTGTCAGTTTATTGATACCGGACACAATAGTCCGATGTGTTCAGTGTTTAAATGAAGTGGGATTCGGAAGAAATGCTCTTTGTGGGGATATTTAACAAAGAATGCCATGGGCACCGCTCCAAAAATAGATCCCCTTACAGAAAGTTGCTGAGAGAGACGCTTTACACTTTGGTCTCCCTTGTCAAGTGACTCGGCCCGACGTTCCTAGGCCACGTCGCAGCTTTAAATCTCACTGAAAAAAAGAAAAGAAAAGAATAGCAAAAAAAGGAATGCGCTGTGACTGTATACCGTAACTAGCTGAAATGAAGAACTGTGCGTAGCACGTAAAGAAATTCCACACCATAGACAGCAGAATATACCATTAGACAAGTTGATTTAGATTACAATGTCAAGATTGTGACCCTTATCTTTAAAATGACAGGTTATCAAGAAATGTGTGTTATCAAAATGACAGGTTATCAAGAGGTATTATTAATTCCATGTTTATGTATATACAATGTGCTTAAGATTAAGAAGTCATTTGAAATGGCATCATGGACCGTTCTTTTGAGTGTCATATTTGTATTTATTTACGCCACTGTATGTCTTAGCGGGAGATCACGATGTTTGTTCAGAAATTTCATGGGTAGGCTTACCATAATGTTAGAGTAACGTTTGTATGATATTGCCTATCTTTTGGGTCATTGAACGGCCCGCCGAAAACAAAAATATCCCCGCGAGTTGCAACATGTACATGCGTACCAAGTACGTTTATTTTTTTTCATTTTTCAAACTGAATTATTTTTCATTTTCTAGATAAAACAGGAAAAACTAGGCAATCAAAAGATCGGGGAGCAAAGTGTATAGTGCGACCATTGCTGTCATGCAGACATTACGCTGCCTAGTTCTGCTGACGTGTGAACACCGTGTTATCTCGAAATAACTATAACGCTTTCAATCTGTTCGCAGACATCTTTTTGAATGAAGATGATGCAGCGGTATTTGAATTCTTAAAAGAATTTAAACCTATTTTCCGGCAGTATAAAGTCTAGAAATCGAAATATTTATAACCGTGAGATGAAAAATGTATGTATTCAGACTTACTGTGCTCAATGAGTAAATTGATCAAAGTAAAATGAATGCAAAGCTTATTAACTGAAGTATAATTTACGTAGTGTAAGAAATCATTTGATAAATATTATGGGGACCCTTGCTGCAGCAGGTATATTCACCTCTTTCGAAGTGATGCCCTCACGTTTTACCCCGTTTTATGGGCAAATTTAGCATCTTATTCAAGTAAAACAGTGTTACTCCGAGTGTAGAATACACGTTTTCTCAGTTGGAAGGCTTTGGAAGACGTCAACAGCAAATATTCCAGGAGCGCACAATGGCTTATTATTTTGCATTCGATTTGTCGATTCTATTTCTGTCGTAACTTTGTTATACATGAGGCGACGACCGCAGGTAAAGCCTGTATGAATCTGTTATTAAAATGGTAACGTTAGGTTGTGTTTGTTAATTTTAGTTATAAATCTAATGCGTTAATTTAATCGGGTGTCTATTCACTTGAATTAATATGACTATTTTTTTCTGCAATATTTGTACATGAATTCTGCTAAAGCCGTTATTAGTTTAATAATAGTTAAACTATTTTATATATGCTGTAAATATATGAATATTAAATATTGAGAGCAAAAAGCTTACAATTTTATACAAGTATTTATAAAAGAATAAAGATTATGCAAATCGCCTATCATAGTGTCGAATTCCATGCTTGGTATTTTGTATTAAGTATCGTTTTCAATGCTTTGTTAACCTGTGAGTTATTTTTTGTTAAAAATTGATTAAAACGGTTTGACATAGATAACCTCAACTTCTCCGCCAATAACCCGGAACATGTGTTTTATCAATTAATGACAAATATAATAAAATTTAAGTAAAACTTTAGCTAAGTTCTTTTTAAATCTTATTCAGTTCCTTACTTTCTTTTCATATCCCTGTCCAGAATTCCAGAACATCTGGATCACTATGTCACAACACCTGTATCATTAAAAAGAGAAAGAACGGGTCAGAGATCCAAAATTTAAGATAATATTTTCCATATGCTTTAAAAAATTGAGGACAAAAAAGAGAGGGAAGACGCTTATTCACACGTACCAAGACGGCTGTACCGTTTTTATGACCGCAAAAATTACCTTGCTTTTAAACATGCCAATTAGTAAAAGGTTTTGGAGCTTTTTAAGTGAACCCAGACCAAGGCACGGCACTCAATCACTCGTGCTTTAACATTACCTCAAATCGTGGGGGTGTTCCTGCACGTTCCTGTAGCAAGGAAGCAACAACTTAGCAATCTTTCCAGTTTAAGGGTGATAGGGTTTGAAATCCAGCCTTGATCAAAGGAGCTCAAGTGCGATTAAAGCACATAAGTGGCTGCTGTAAGTTTTACCAGATGTTTCAGCAAAGCACAACCACGCTGTCTCACCTACCACATTCGGCTGCATATTCGCTTTGCCTATGTTGCGAGTTAAAACATTAGGTTCGCACGACTTTACTCTAGTAGTTAAATCGAGTCGAAGTGGGTGGCGAGAACCTGAAGGAGTGATACTTGAAATTTCGATAGTGCATTTTTTACTTTGATCAATCAACTGAAAAACAGGCAGTCTCTCGGAAAGTATGCTTCGTGTAATCGTAATTCATGAAATTGGAATTTCCCATTTTTGCTGCAGTTTGCCACGTGATGATAAATGTGGAAGTGAGGCACTTGGCTGCATTTTAACGGCGCCATTTTTAAAATTTAGTCTCACCAAAACCTCAAAACACAAGCAAGTCTTTTTCTATACCAAATTTAGGACCTATACTACACTTATAGGACCTACAGTGTATACTACAAAATTAATGTTTTGTTGTTGTTGTTGTTGTTTTGTTCACTTCCCTTTAACCCTCAATTTAAACTTCACTTAATCCATTCAAAACACTGTACAGGTGCGTTTCCTAGTCCATCTTTTTCAGATGTCCTAACGATATGCATAATTCATAGTTACATTTTGACGAGCACCCCTGTGTGAAATCGAATTTCTGTTTCATCTCAGTTAATGCTGGGCAAATATGACTCACATAAATGGCTTTATTTTGATCCCCCCTCCCCCCCCCCAAAAAAAAAAAAAAGTCCTCTGTGAACTAGAGACCTGTAGGCCTACAACGTCAAGAGCAAAACATAACACACCATGCCCCCCCCCACACACACACACACACTACGCTCTGTCATGCTGTTTAACATATACTAAAATAAAAAGCCCATGGTTAGATCTTTAACCCATCCGCATTAATCTGATGTTACGGAAATTATTGATCTCATCAACAAAAGGACCATACAAAAACCGATTAGCTGGGGCTTGCTGGGGCTCTTGGAAGAGTGAGAGAGGTGGAAATATTATGCCACGTGGAATTTACCATTGTGCTATTTTTAGTCGGGGATTCCTAGCTGACGTCATTACTCCACTTCCACGATAGAGATCCAAAATGGCGACGTTGGTAAGTCGGCTTTCGTTACCAGCAGGTTATCGCTGGTCTTTGAGTGTTAAAATGCTAATGTCTTTCTATATGTATTTGGCATATCACGTCTATACATGTATAGAAATCTGTTTAGGTGTTTTATCACACAGAGACATGAATATCAGTCAATATTTGCAGCATTTTGTGTTGTTCTTCCGTCTTTCTCTGACACAGCGGTGGATAACATGGACAAGAAGTTGGATGCGTGCCTTTGATTCTGCTTTGATTTAATTGTAATTTTTAGATTTTACAGTGTTTATGATCTCTTGACAGTCCAATGTTTGCACTATTGTGCTGTAACAGAATACCAGTGGATCCAAATAGCTGTTATTTACAATCCACATTGTCGTACAACTTAAAAAAAAACTGTTTTATAAAAAGCACAGCAAAGACGGGAATATACTGTACTAAGTGTGATGGCACTCAGAACTGAAAAATTATATCTATTTGTGATTAACATGCCTTATATCCAATTCCAATATTCTTTTTTTGTAATCTTTTGAAGATCGATAATCTGACGACAGTTTTGTTCCAGCTCACATACAAATTTATGACTTATTGTTATTTATAGCACCAAGTCATTCTAACAGTAATATATAAGTGGAATGAGGGACAGGCTAAAAACCTTAATACTACTAAATTCACCCTCATTTAACAATCCTCAACTCTTAAGCATAGGTATTAACAACTTACTGGTATTGTAATTTATTTGATATTTTATGTTACAGACCATGAAAGTTGCTCGCTGTCCCACGGACGAGCTGTCACTAACCAACTGTGCCGTAGTCAATGATAAGGACTTGGATGTTACTAAAATAAAGTAAGTACCCAAATGAAAAATATTGTAAAAGTAACATTAAGTTTTTTTTTCTTTTTTTACTTTTTTTTCAGGCCTGAAGCCAGAAATTTCAAAAAGAGGGGGGGGGAGGCGTCTTTTTCTGAATTAGTGAACATTTTTCACAATGTTTACTATGTATGATCATTGAACTTTGATCAAATTTTGATTCAGAGTAGACCTCTTCCCAGATAAAGGCCTTTTTTGCATAAACCACTTTATGCCATAGCGATTATCAGTTTATTTTCAGCTACCCTAGATATGTAACAACAAACTAAGTATTCAGGAACGGTCAGCTTGCAACTCCTATCCACCAATTCAATAGAAGCTTACATATAAATATATATAAACTGATTTCTGGCATTACCAAGCTATTTTGAACAATAAAAGAGCTGTTTGAACCCTGAACACACCCCTTGCTGACGGAGCTGTTTTTCCATATAGTTATTTGCACACAAAGATAAGAAACCATCATGTGCACTACTCGCCTTGTATATTGATGTGAAGCTTATGTTATCTTAGCCTGGATCTTAGAGGCAGTTTTGTCCTCAGAGCTAGGAAAGTCTGCATAGTTTCTGCAAGTGCTCATTTATACTCTAAATGGGTTCTGTGCCTTGTGAATTTATTGGATTAGTTCTGCCATTTTCTTTCAGCAAGTACTCTAGTGTTATATCGACTAAGTCAAGTTATTAATCACTAAGCATTGTCATTTCTGCCTGATGTTCTTTATTTTATTGTCAGTCACTTGGAAGCTGAGGAAGTGGATATGTACTTATGAATTCTTGCTCATTTGCCCTGCAGCCTTGTGAAAACATTAGTTTTGCCAAGAACTGAATTTTGTCATATTGAAAGTGAACAGATATTTAACATTCCGTCCAGGATTTTCTCAAGTCATGTCTCTCAAACCACCTAGAGAAAATTGATTTTGCACGCTGGTACGTCTCATAACTTGGTTTCAGTTTCACCCACAGGAATTAAAGCAGTTAACATATTTCAAGACCACTGCCTTAACCACTGCAGGCTTGAAGTGCAAAAACTTGTGGTTAAAGTGCTAGAAATTAATGGATGTCCTGATTATTTTCTCCATCGGTCATATATATTGATTACATGGAATGGATAGGCTGCCTGACTCACATATTTTTTGCTGATAGAATACAGCGTATTTATACAACATATAACGTGTAATCTAAACTTTGAATGATATTTTCATTCTGTTATTTCCCCGATGGATTATTCTCCAGATCATGCTTCAGAGTAATTTGGGTTCTTGGATACTAGTCTCAGAATATGATTCCCCAAGCGGCATCAGTACGGAGCATGAAAGCAAAATGACAGATAGATCATTGTTAGTGACCTGCTTTTTTTCAAATGCACAGTTGCCAACTCCACTCATTCAGAGTGCACATATTCAATATGTTAGTTTGGACAAACTGTCTTTGNATAAATCTGATGTTACGGAAATTATTGATCTCATCAACAAAAGGACCATACAAAAACCGATTAGCTGGGGCTTGCTGGGGCTCTTGGAAGAGTGAGAGAGGTGGAAATTGCCACGTGGAATTTACCAATGTGCTATTTTTAGTCGGGGATTCCTAGCTGACGTCATTACTCCACTTCCACGATAGAGATCCAAAATGGCGACGTTGGTAAGTCGGCTTTCGTTACCAGCAGGTTATCGCTGGTCTTTGAGTGTTAAAATGCTAATGACTTTCTATATTTATTTGGCATATCACGTCTGTACATGTATAGAAATCTGTTTAGGTGTTTTATCACACAGAGACATGAATATCAGTCAATATTTGCAGCACTTCGTGTTGTTCTTCCGTCTTTCTCTGACACTGAGCGGTGGATAACATGGACAAGAAGTTGGATACGTGCCTTTGATTCTGCTTTGATTTAATTGTAATTTTTAGATTTTACAGTTTTTAGGATCTCTTGACAGTCCAATGTTTGCACTATCTTGCTGTAACAGAATACCGGTGGATCCAAATAGCTGTTATTTACAATCCACATTGTCGTACAACTTTAAAAAAAAAGAACTGTTTTATAAAAAGCACAGTAAAGACGGGAATATACTGTACTAAGTGTGATGGCACTCAGAACTGAACAATTATATCTATTTGTGATTAACATGCCTTATATCCAATTCCGATATTCTTTTTTTGTAATCTTTTGAAGATCGATAATCTGACGACAGTTTTGTTCCAGCTCACATACAAATTTATGACTTCTTGTTATTTATAGCACCAAGTCATTCTAACAGTAATATATAAGTGGAATGAGGGACATGGAATGAGGCTAAAAACCTTAATAAGACACTAAATTCACCCTCATTTAACAATCCTCAACTCTTATGCATAGGTATTAACAACTTACTGGTATTGTAATTTATTTGATATTTTATGTTACAGACCATGAAAGTTGCTCGCTGTCCCACGGATGAGCTGTCACTCACCAACTGTGCCGTAGTCAATGATAAGGACTTGGATGTTACTAAAATAAAGTAAGTACCCAATTGTAAAATATTGTAAAAGTACCATTAAGTTAATTTTTTTTTTCTTTTTTATCTTTTTTTTCTGGCCTGAAGCCAGAAATTTCAAAAAGAGGGGGGGGGGGGGGGGGTCCTTTTTCTGAATTAGTGAACCTTTTTCACAATGTTTACTATGTATGATCATTGAACTTTGATCAAATTTTGATTCAGAGTAGACCTTTTCCCGGATAAAGGCCTTTTTTTTGCATAAACCACCTTATGCCATAGCGATTATCAGTTTATTTTCAGCTACCCTAGATATATACTGTATGTAAGAACAAACTAAGTATTCAGGAACGGTCAGCTTGCAACTCCTATCCACGAATTCAGTAGAAACTTACATATAAATATATATAAACTGATTTCTGGCATTACCAAGCTATTTTGAACAATAAAAGAGCTGTTTGAACCCTGAACACACCCCCTGATGACGGAGCTGTTTTTCCATGCAGTTATTTGCACACAAAGATAAGAACCCGTTATGTGCACTACTCGCCTTGTATATTGATGTGAAGCTAATGTTATCTTAGCCTGGATCTTAGAGGCAGTTTTGTCCTCAGAGCTAGGAAAGTCTGCATAGTTTCTGCAAGTGCTCATTTATACTCTAAATGGGTTCTGTGCCTTGTGAATTTATTGGATTAGTTCTGCCATTTTCTTTCAGCAAGTAATCTAAAGTTATATCGACTAAGTCAAGTTATTAATCACTAAGCATTGTCATTTCTGCCTGATGTTCTTTATTTTATTGTCAATCACTTGGAAGCTGAGGAAGTGGATATGTACTTATGAATTCTTGCTCATTTGCCCTGCAGCCTTGTGAAAACATTAGTTTTACGGTGAACTGAATTTTGTCATTTTGAAAGCGAACAGATATTTAACATTCCGTCCAGGATTTTCTCAAGTCATGTCTCTCAAACCACCTAGAGAAAATTGATTTTGCACACTGGTACTTCTCACAACTTGGTTTCAGTTTCACCCACAGGAATTGAAGCAGTTAACATATTTCAAGACCACTGCCTTAACCACTGCAGGCTTGAAGTGCAAAAACTTGTGGTTAAAGTGCTGGAAATTAATGGATGTCCGGATTATTTTCTCCATCGGTCATATACATTGATTACATGGAATGGAAAGGCTGCCTGACTCACATATTTTTTGCTGATAGAATACAGCGTATTTATACAACATATAACGTGTAATCTAAACTTTGAATGATATTTTCATTCTGTTATTTCCCCGATGGATTATTCTCTAGATCATGCTTCAGAGTAATTTGGGTTCTTGGATACTAGTCTCAGAATATGATTCCCCAAGCGGCATCAGTACGGAGCATGAAAGCAAAATGACAGATAGATCATTGTTAGTGACCTGCTTTTTTTCAAATGCACAGTTGCCAACTCCACTCATTCAGAGTGCACATATTCAATATGTTAGTTTGGACAAACTGTCTTTGTCTTTGTTTTCTTTTAAAAAAAGATAACAACAAATATATGCACTTTGAGTGCTGTCATGCTGACAACAGTGGTATCATATTGTTTTGGCAGCTGTGTGACTGAATAATTTTGTGTAGTCAGGATAATACAAGTAGCTTTTGTTGAATTTTGCTGACCTGCCTCTAGACAAATGGATGGTTAGAATTAATTGCTCTCTGGTGTTGTGGTGATAAGTACATTAATCAATGGATACAGTGTATTACTAGTAATCTAATTTGCTGGCACTTGCATGTGGCAGCAAAATATTTTGAAACAAATTTTGAAGTAAAAAGTGCCAGTTGGGCTTCTAAAATGCTCTTTTTTGTCTATTAGTCTCTTAATTCTCTCAGGTTTCCAAACATGGCATATATAACCCATGCTCAAAAGACAATAACAAAATGTGTATCCATTGCACTTAATTTATTGCTGACCGTTACTCACACATGACTTCATGAAATTGCTATACATTAGCCCATGTTCTGTCATTTAAAAGATAATATTAATGTTTTAAACATTTGTTTTCTTATTAAAAGGATAAAAGCAATATGTATGAGATCCATATTTCACAACAAATACATTGTAAACAACCATAAAAATATAATAAATTCTACTGTTCAACCAAAACAGAAGTTCTCTCTTAAGAAATTATAACAAAAAAAAAACCAAACTTTTGAGTATTTTGAGTAAAGAAACAGGAACTAACTTTGAATGTTCATTAACCATTAGTAAGAATGAGAAAATTGCTGTTTGCCCGTGAAAAATCCATTTTTTTTGGCCGAAATAAACTGTTGTTATCCCTTTAAATTTATATTGATACATTACACACAGGATAGGGCTTAATTAAAGTAGTAGAAAGAAAGACTCATCCAAGCATATACTGGTAGTCTTTTAGTTGGGAAAGGCTAGTTTTGCTACCAGATGCAAGGCTAGAAAGCGTTTCAGCTGTGGCGCTATTGATTTCCCAATATCCCATTATGCCTCAAAATCTGGATCAATTTCCTAGTGTAAATAAAAAACCCACTGGTCTGCATCCAATCTTAACAATCTGAGAACTGTGAAAAATATTCTTCATTATTTGTCTTTTTTTTTCATTCATTTTCATTCAATTTGCCTTGAAAAAACCCTTACAGGGCTCAAGACAAAGAATTTGTTCACACTGAATTTTTTACTTTGTATTTCTTCTGTCAATTAATTTTGATCTTAATTACGCAGTAAATTAGATGTAATGTAAGATATTAAATTGGAACCTGTACTTATGGCGATATCAAAGACCATTCACAACCTGTTTATTGGTGTGAAATTGCCGCTTTGCAGTCGTGAAGTTGTTGATTCATTAATTAATTAATTGAGAGCATTTTATTCTTTGCACACTTTTCACATAGGCAGTTGACATTTGTGGATGGAAACTCATTTCATTATTTACTTTAACATGATGATTGAATGATGAAAGTGATTTCCTAAATTACTTTGCTTCATTTCTAGCGTGTGGAAGTTCATCCAAGTGAGTGGACTTTAGAAGGTTATTATAGTTCCATTTATTGACCAAAATTATGTGTCCAGAGACTGGATTCTCTATTGATTTCTTTGCCCAGTAAATAAATAGACTGTTAAGTATCAATATGTGGCAATATTTCTGAATAAAAAATGACAAAAACACAGATTTGAAAATTGAGATATTCATGAGAAAACTAAGAATTTATTCTTGTTAACCAAAGTTACATTTTTGGAAAAACAGATTTTTTTAGGTATACAAAAGATTTTTATCATTCAGTGATGTACATGTATTCCGGCTGAGTGTAAATATCGAACCTGTGTTGAATTATGAATATAGTACCAGACTGTAATCTAAAAACTTGAGTGCATGAATCAATTTGATTAATTTCGAGATAAAGCCGTTGTGATTTTACGGGCTTCAAGACCATGTGCCCTGTCATAATGCATGTCAGTATAATCAGCGCTTGGCTGAAATGATTTTTAACATGATTACAACTAGAATTCCTAGAAAATGTGGAGATACACACACACACACACACACACACACACTCTCACAGTTTATTTTTTTAACTGTAAAGTGAAATGATATGATTAATGGTCCTATCTCATACTTATTTCATTTTTTTCCACAATGGCAATATCCAACAATCTGATCAATCAATGGCATATGCTGAAGATTTATTACATTTTTGTCATTGTATAAGTCTCCAAGGCACATATCATTGGCTCTGAAACACTCTGAAATACTTCAGCGATGAAATCCCACATGGTTTCAGCCATTACCTTCACTGCACTAACACTAAATTACCAGTCCGATATGTTGCTCCTTTGTGGATTGTGGAACCATTGCACACAAATATAAATCCTGATAATCAGTCTGGTAGCTACAAGGAAGAATTGATTGGAAATTCTGATTTATTTGTTCGCTTTCATCTGCTCATCAGTATTGATTTTAACAGAATTCTAATCTTAATTTTTTTCTGCTCATATTATTCATTCATCTTTCATAGAAGGATAGGTTGCACCTAGCAGCAAGTTAGTTTCACACCATAAAAGAAAATTGCAGTTTATTTAGATGTCTGAACTTGAAACAATTGCTGATCAAATAGATCTATAACAAATACTGTATTTAGACAATTGTTTGAACTGACTGCATTGTATCTGGACCACATTGTGGCAGTCATGTCTTAATTAAGATATTTGTAGTGTACAGATACATGTACATTCAGCCCAAATCCATCACCAGGATTAGCAAGGCTGAAAAGAAATACCGGGGTCCATAGAAACATCTTTCGAACATTCAATGCTGGAAAATGACCCAAAATGACAAACTTTGGAAAATTCACTGCTGTGTTTGGGGCAAAAATGATTGCCCTCTGACCATGTCCTTGACCATGGTTTATACTACTGGGTAGTATAGTCAGGATGTATTTTCTTGTTGCCCATTCAACAACCTGTGATGAGACATCAGGAAAATTCCCATCAGGAAAATTTCATGATGACATCAGGAAAATTCTCATCCTGACAATACTACTGAGTAGTATAGTCAGGATGCATTTTCTTGTGCCCATTCAACCACCTGTGATGACATCAGGAAAATTCCCGTTTAATTTGTCTTCCACTTTACAGCAAACCCTACAGAGACAGTATACAGGGCACATATGTTTGAGTTAATGTATCATTGGAAAAATTTTCTGACACATGCACTGTACTTTCCAATACTATCACACTGGTGAGTTCCAAACACAAAAATACCACATGGATATATCTCTTATCCCCATATTTTTTTAGCACATGGCAGAAACAAACAAACAAAAAAGGTTCTCCATCCCTTGCTTCTCAACATAGCAAAAAAGAAAAAAAAAACAACTGAATATTGAAGAAGAAAATCCAATTTATGAGATCTATTTTGAATAAGAGCTGCAGTCTAAGTGTCTTATCTGACAGTTATTTCTCTAAGCCTTTTCACATTAAGCAATCTGTCTAAGGCACTTCTCATATTGATCAAGCAATACATTTTACTGGACCAAAAATATGGAACTCAACAAGGAGTTAGATGCTGAAACTGCCATCATAAGTTGTCGAGGGTTATATTAACCATGGCACCAGAGAGAGAGAGAGAGAGAGAGACCATTTTGAGAGGTCCTAACATGTAATTTCACTACCAGAGGTTTTTATTCCCTTCGACGGGTGTTCCAAAAGTTTGCTTCCTTTTAATTTATTGGAAGTCTCAAGCATGGGGGCTTTGTTTAGGCGATCGACTCTCTTTTGTAATAGCCAGATTATTAAGCTGTCAATATTTCATAGTTGGCCAGTCCTGTTAAATGTGCCACTTGTTAAAAAAGTCCTAGAATTCCATCAAAAAGGTAATGTTTTGAGAGATTGACAGCTTTATAGCTGCTGTTATGTAAAAAATCACCTAAATAAAGTAATTTCTTACAATGCTAATTTGATTAACTTATACTTTGCCCATTGTCCACCATACTGCTACTGTCTCAAAGAGCATATATATATATATATATACACTTTAATCAAAACAGTAGAACTGAACTTGTGAAAGCAAGTATGAATAAAACTATTAGGTAGTTTGCTTTTCAATTGTGTTGCAATCACTCATGAGGTACTTCTAATTTTAAGAATGAATCACTTAACAAAATACAGTGTCTGTAAAATGCACAATTTTCCCCAGTTGAAATGGTCAAGCCATTACTGTTAAGTGCTGTGCAGTGTAATGAAGTGGCTCTGAAGGTGTAACTCTTAAGATATAATGCTCAATGTGAGAATGAAGATCTTCTGTCTATTTGCATCTTGAGTCCAACTTGTAAATGATTTTTTTTATACATTTCAGACATATCAAGGTTCACCCTACACCTAACCACACATATATATTTACCATCAAGAGCCACAATGCCATTGTACCGGGAACTGTGGGCTTTAGTCTGCCTCAGGTAAGGGATACGTGTTATAACTGTGTGTGCCATGGAGATAACGTGTAGTATGTAATACAAAGTAACACCATGAAAAGTCCATTATACAGGCAGATATCTGACTTTTGGCAGATATCTGACTTCTTGGGAGCCAAAAATATCATTAGTCTAGGCACAAAAGAGCCAAAGAGCCTTTGCATGTTGTAATTAAATTATTTGGTGAAATTTGTTACTGTTCGTAACAATGCATAACATTACATCTTAGTGAAAAGCCATTTATTGATATGATTATGACACTGGCATTATAAGCAATTCTCATCAACATCATCCAAATTGCAGTATACATTACACTTTGAAAACGAGACAGAGTAATACAGTTATATTGATTTTTCTCTCAACCATTATTATATTTTATTTTTCCAAATTTCAGAGAAAGTGGGCCATGTTGTCCCTCAACCAGGAGATTGGAGTCATGCCATACAAGTTTGACCCAAACACTCAGTATATCAGTAGCATAACTTTAGAAGTTGACTTCTTACAAAAGAAAAAGTAAGTTAATGGAAGGTACTGCCAAAAATATTTTTATGGTGTCCAGATGTAAGATGATAAGTTAAGTTATTCTTGACCTGATAAATAATAATTGGTCAGTTGGTCATTATTGGTGTATTTCTGAGTGGTCAATTTGCCAGCTATGACCTCGTTCCTCTTTTGATTAGTATTAATCAAATACAATGTTTCCATAACTGTCATTGTATAAGTCTCCAAGGGTGAGTTGTAATAAAAGAAGTGCTTCAGTCATCCAAAATTCTTGTAAACATATAATGAAGTGTATCAAGTATCAATAATTGATAAAATGATATAAGCAGAAATATAGTGCAGTATTGCCTTGTTTTTTTTATACATGTGACTGTACATCTAATAGTTATGTGTAAAGAAAAGTGATTGCATGATAAATAGTGATGGGATGAAAATTACCCCTACACTTTTGTTTTCAGGATTTCATGATTGTTTTCATCTTTTCTTAGTACCACAACAGAAGCCTACAACACAGAGACGATGGCGATGGAGTTTCTGATGCAGTTTCCACAGCAAGCCTTCACACAGGGTCAGCAGCTCGTCTTTGAATTTCAGGGAAAGAAATTACTTGGACTGACAATCAAAGAACTTGAAGGTAAACAGATTTTACAGTGCACTCTGTTAGATTTGATTTAAACTTGATGCACTCCATCAAGCCATGTTCTTAAAGATGGTGAGGGAATTACCCTTGAAATATTTGCAGCATGCATTCTCAGTTACAAAAATCTGTCCTAGTTTTGTAAGAAAATTGCTGTTAATCATTTTAACTGTTATTTACAGAGAGGATGTCTTTAATCATTATGTACATTACATAATATTTTATTACACAATATTGTTTTAGTTTTGGGCTTTTTAAGCATCTACTAACAGTAACTGTTACTGTACAGTAATAAAATTTAATTAGTATTTTTAGGAAGTTAACTTTGAATTTCACGTGTAATATTTTATATTCCAGTGATGGACATGGGATCTGGAAAACCAAAACAAGTAAGTGTATACAAGAGATGAGGCACCTGTTTCTTATTATTCATAAATGCCTGTGAAATAAGGTAAAAAATAATCTGTTAAATCTTGCTTGATTATAAGCCACTTCACCAAACTTTGGGCAATTGCAGATGTTGCCATTACACCTTCCATTTAAGAATGTAAATTTTCATATATTCTCAATATTTCAGGCACGTCTTGGTATTACTATGCCAAACACAAATGTGTTTTTTGAAAAGGCAGAAAATTCTGTTGTCAACTTGACTGGAAAAGCAAAATCGTGAGTATGATGTGGTGTTATCATTTATGAGAAAAATGATCATGAAAATAGGTTATTTGTCATCATTAATTTATGAAAGATTATAAACCATTGTTTTGATAGTACTCCAGGTATTATGAAATAAAAATTAAGGTTAAAATATTGTTGGTAAACCTTTGAAGTGTTATTTTAAAATAAACATTTATTTATTTATGTTTTGTTTTGTTTTGCCTTTTAGAAAACAGTCCTTCCAGTCTATCATAAACCCAGACTGGGACTTCACCAAGATGGGTATAGGAGGCCTGGACAATGAATTCTCAGCTATCTTTAGGAGAGCATTTGCTTCCAGGGTTTTTCCACCCGAGGTAGTAGAACAACTAGGTGGGTTTTCAGATCAAATTCTTCTACAAATAGTCCTTATCTCATCCATTTTATTGCTTAAATACTTAAATACTTAATATAATTTATTACTTAAATACTTAAAATACCAAAATACTTATTTTATTACTTACAAGTAAGCAGTTATGAATTGAAGTGATATTATCAGGGGCGGATCCAGAGATATTTTCTGACAGTCTTCCAAAATATCTTTGTTGATCCATCCTCATTTTTGACCGTCTTCCGACAGAAAAAGTTTGATATCCGTCAATGTAAACTTGAAAATCTGACCGTCTTCCGGAAGACCCAGAAGACGGCCTAAATCCGCCCCTGATTATGTACTTTTTATTTGTACAGTTTCTGTTATGAAATTGTTAACTCTTCTAATATCTTCTCATAGTACCTTAAGGCCATTATATATTTTATCATAATTAGTGCATCATCGTTGCATTTGCATCCATTTTTCAAGGTATGAAGCATGTACGAGGTATTTTGTTGTTTGGACCCCCTGGTACAGGAAAGACCCTTATGGCCAGGTAGAGTATGCATCTCTGCTGATATAAATTGTTTGCTGGCAGCAGGATGTATATTTATTTTAATATTAATATATGATATTAATACATGTAGTATTGATTAAGTTAATATAACCAGGTGTAGTCTGTAAACTGTCCATGTTTCTTTTGAGCAACTTGTATACTGTTTTAAATGGCAAAAAAATTGGTTATAACCATGATAATATATTTATATTTCAGACAAATAGGTAAAATGTTGAATGCTAGGGAGCCTAAGATCATTAATGGCCCTCAAATTTTGGACAAATATGTGGGTGAATCAGAGGCCAATGTAAGGAAATTGTTCTTGGAAGCAGAGGAGGAGGAAAAGAGGGTAGGTGCAGATAAAATTGCATACAGTAATTACTCATTCTTTTCAATGGGGAGAAAACTGTGAATTTTACAGATACTGTATTTTGTAAGTCATAATTTCTTCAAATTACAACATTCCTATTGAGTGGTTACAACAATATTAAAAAGCAGATATAATTTTATTCTATGGTAAATAAATTTGGTAAACATTTAATATTGAAAAGCAGATGGTTAATAAATAATTGCTAAGATTGACACATTTCAACTAATTTGAAGATTTGCCTTGGTTGTAAAAGTAATTCGGTTTTTTAAAAAAATGATGAGTAAATACTGATCAACTCACCTTTAGTATGTGGCATGTGAATTAATAGGTATATTTACATTATTAATCACAAATAATTTGAATTGATGTATTTATAAGTAAAAAGCACAAACAGGTAGTTAACATAAATTGTGAGACATCCCTTCATTTCCTGTACAATAGAAGAACCTTCTATGATGTACATGTGGATGAATATTTAAAATGCATTCTGTGTGTGTGTGCATAATATTTCCACTTTACACTGTTTTCTTCAGTGTGGAATCAACAGTGGATTACACATCATCATTTTTGATGAGATAGACGCCATATGCAAGTCCAGAGGTTCCGTGGCGGGCAACACTGGTGTCCATGATACTGTGGTCAACCAGCTACTGGCCAAAATAGACGGTGTTGAGCAACTGAACAATATTCTTGTCATTGGTGAGTTAGTATATGATAAACATTGTATTTTTCATTCATTATATTTATTAATTTTTATTTAAATTATTTTATGAACTTTAGATGAATATCAGTGAGTGTATGTGATAGTCTTAATTACAGTTGTGAAAAAAATGTTTAGTTTTATGTATTTATACCATGAATTAAAATCTTTTCACAATGTTTACTCTTATATGTATATGCTGTTAAATTTACCATTTCTGGCTATAAGTCAAATATATTCATTTAAGGTATGACTAACAGAAAAGACATGATAGATGAAGCTTTGACAAGACCTGGAAGATTGGAGGTGCAGATGGAAATAGGTAAACTTTGCTGACATGTTTTTCCATTGTTTTTTTTTTTCATAATATTATAGTATCCTTCTTGTATAAAAGCAAAATTTGAAATATGAATTAAATCTATTATTTTGTATGAAGAAAGAATGTATTGAAGAAAGAAAAAAAAATTATAAAATCCTTTTGGAAATTTAAGCGACTGATTTTTTATTCCTTCTTAGGTTTACCTGATGAAAATGGCCGTGTTCAGATTCTGAATATCCACACAGCTACAATGCGTGAGAATGGAAAACTAGCTGATGATGTCGATAATTTAAAGCTGGCCGAACTAACAAAGAATTTCAGTGGGGCTGAAATTGAGGGATTGGTACGAGCTGCCACATCAACAGCAATGAACAGGCTCATAAAGGTAAATAGCACATTAATTATAACTCATTAGATTTGTGATGTTGAAATATGTGGGAAATTCTTGAAGCCTAATGTAATAATTAACTGGATATTAAGCTCAGGTTCATTATATCTCATCATTATAATGAAAAAATCAACATATATTTGTTAATGGAAAAATTTATATGAATATTTAAAAGTCAAATCTCTTTTGATATTTGAAACACTCTGAATATTGTGAAAATTTTCAAAAATGAAAAGATCTTTCATTGCATTATTAACTTTAAATGATATGAATAAAAACCTCCAAGTCACTGATCAACAATTGCTGTATATGATCCAGGCTTCAAACAAGGTAGAGATAGATCCTGATGCTCCTGACAGGCTGAAAGTCACCTGGGCAGACTTTATGAATGCTCTGGAGAATGATGTTAAGCCAGTAAGTTGAATTATTATTATTATTATTATTATGTTAAAAGATGAGATAAGGGGGGAATAAAGAAAAGATAGTGAAATTAGTGAATTAAACAAGATTGATATCTTATTTAAAAGTATGATTTTGGGGAAATTTTATAAGACAGTATTTCTTAAAATATTTGTAACTATATTCTCATTTCATTTGATCTTTTTTTCATTCTTCAAAAGTACTTAACTTGTGAGTGTAAAGTAGGGGGGGGGGGGTAGTTCATTCCTTTGTAACTTCATAAATGACTTTTTAAAATACAGATAGATAATTTTTTTTTTAATTTTAGGCCTTTGGTACCAGTGCCACAGAGGTCAGTGCTTATGTGGCCAATGGTATAATACCCTGGGGAGCCCCGGTGGCACGCATTTTAGAAGATGGAGAACTGTTGGCCAAACAGGTGAAGGAAAGTGAAAGAACCCCATTGGTTGCAGTGCTTTTGGAGGGTAAGAGAAGATGCTACAGGTTGCGGCTTCTTCTTTGATTTTTTTGAATTATGAAGATAAAAAAACTAGATTGGTGAGGTTGATGCCAGCGAAATAGTAGATGTGCCCTGAAAAGCCTCTGTGGCATCTGAATCCACAAAATGAAACATGCCTGGAAGATTTATTTTTATTCATGATAGTTTTAAGGAATTCAATATCCATCATAAGCATTAGCCATGATCAGACATGAGCTTTTTATTGCAAAACCATGCAATTCCAAGATTTTAAATTCAATTTAGATTAGAACTAAGGTGGCAAATTTATTATGTTTATGTGAAGATCTCATTCAGACTTGCAATTAAACAACTTATATCCTGTTGCCTTGCATTAGTTTTCTCATGCATATTCTTACAGGTCCCCCTGGCAGTGGGAAGACTGCTTTGGCAGCACAAATTGCCAAGAATTCAGATTTTCCATTCCTCAAGATTTGTTCCCCAGAAAACATGATAGGATTCCATGAGTCGGCCAAATGTCAGCAAATCAAAAAGGTAGAACAGCAGGATGCTATAACAGTTTCTTTAAAAAACTAAAATGATAGTTATTTGTACTCAAATATTTCAGTGGATATGAAGATGCCATCTGCAGGGAAAAATTAATTCCTTTAGTCCCATCTCTTTCATTGAAGGTGACTTGATACACACTGATATATAATAGTGCAAATAACTCCGACTCCGACTGAAACTTTTATTTTGAAGAAACTGTTATAATAGAAACTGAGCATATAAAACAATGGATTTTTTTTACAGTACAACAGTTCAAAGTTGCAGAGCTTTGTATCAGGTTCATTGAAGAGAATAATCAATATTGATATGGCCATTTATAAATTAGGTGTAATTTTATTAGATTGTCTTTTGATGTGATGGTGCAATTTAAATCATATTTGTTGGATTTTGATTTTTTTTCTAGATATTTGATGATGCCTACAAGTCTCAGCTCAGTTGTGTTATTGTTGATGATATTGAGAGATTGCTAGGTAAAGCTTTAATTATATTGATCTCAATACAGTGTAAATTACCAGTTTTACTTTAATACCAGTTCTTAATGTTTAAAGTACAGATAAGTATGAAATGGTTTGCTGTGAGTTTTTGAAATTGGGCTTGATCACGTATTAAAACTAAAGGATTATAATTATTGTTATGGCTTCCAGATTATGCTCCTATTGGCCCCCGTTTCTCCAACTTGGTTCTGCAAGCCCTGCTGGTGTTGTTAAAGAAAGTGCCACCACATGTAGGTTATTCCTCTATTGAATAGTATATAGTGTAAAATGTAAATATAATACATTTTATACATCCACTTGTCCAAAAAAGTTTGGAAACAACTGAAATGATTATTTAATTATAAAATAACCATTTGAGCTAAGGTAAATATTTCAACCAAATATTGGTGGATAATGCACTTTTTTATATACACTGAATATTTTCCCACTACAGTACATGGTTTTTTTTTAATTATTGAAAAAGTATTTCATGTTATGGATCTTTTTTGGGGCGATTGTATATAAAGTAGCTTCTTAGTCATTAGTACACAAAATACATTGTATGTGCATTGTTACCATGATTTTTTTAGAACATGAAATACATACACATCTATTCAAAAGTTGTTTTGCAAATACATACATGTACAAGTTCAGTAAAAAGGGAATTTCTCTTACTTTTTTTTTCAGGGCAGAAAACTGCTTGTGATAGCAACCAGCAGCAGGAGAGATGTGCTGCAGGATCTGGAGATGACCAATGTCTTCAATGCCAGGATCCATGCGTATAATCTGTCCACTGGGGAACAGCTGCTGGCAGCTCTGGACGGCATGGACGCCTTCACCAAGAAGGAGATGGAGGATATTACCAAAGCAGTGGACGGCAAAAGGTATTATTTGTAACTTAAGGTACATGTTTACTTAAGATACATAACAATAATTTAGTAATAATTAACAAAATGAAAGATGGAAGAGAGATTACTATGAGGGTGGAAGGGAAATGGTATTTTTTTTACCTGAAAAGATTATGCGATTATGACTACACAAACAGTGGTGACATCACAGTATATCACTACCTCATTGTGTTTGCATGTTTATTACCTCAATTAATAATAATAATAATAATAATAATAATAATAATAATAATAATAATTGTAATGAAAGTTCTTTTAAATTGCACTGTGTACAATAATAAAACCAGCCTTTTATAAAGATTGTGTCCGTTTTATTCCAGGCTGTGCATTGCTATCAAGAAGTTACAGGTTCTGGTGGAAATGGCAAGACAAGTGAGTACATATTACTTTCCTCTCTATTAAAATCACATTATTTTAATAGCAGTCAAAATGGTGAACAGAATAAAATTTAAGCGAAATCTGCTGATTTCATTTAATCAGCCATTTTATTATCTGAAGTGCTATTAGTAGTATTTGAAAGTATTATTGGCACAAACTAAAAAAACACATGGCAAAAACTTTTGGCAAAAAGTTATGCACCGAAATGTTTTGTAAGAACCTCTGAAATCAATTACTCTTCTGAATGTATTAGGATGACATTTATATTTGAGGAATATTTTTAGTAAATATCTAATAAATATTTTTAAAAATATTTAAAATTGTAAAGTAGATTAACTGGTAGTCCTCAGAAAGTTACAAGTTTGAATTAAAATCAGTAAGTCCCGAGATAACAACCACAGATGAAAATGTATGATTTAAAAAAAAATTGCTGATTTTTACAATTATAGTCCTTTGGGACAAATATTGTAACATAAAAAATCTTATGTTACTAGTCTGATGCCAAATCAATGAGTCCGTTGCCTAGGTCCATAACTTTAAGCTGACATCACAGACCAATATGCTGTGAAAGGCAGTCCCATTGGAGAAGATGGCATAAATCTAGCATATATTTCTTTTTCAGACGGAGGAGGGTGAAAGAGTCCCAAAGCTGATCACTCTATTACAAGAGGAAGGTGGATTAGAGGATTGATGTATTAACCAACTGAACAAACTGTGAAGAACTCAAGCTTCCATTTTTCAGTGTAAGGAAACAGTTCCTCTGATCTCTTGAAAAGTTCATGTAATTTTTACTGTCAAGATGGAGGAGGAAATAGATTATTCAGTGGTACACAGTAGATTTAAAGTATTGTGTGTTGTGCCAAGTAAGTTACCCCTTAAGAAAGGAAAAATCATTCCAAAAATTTCTGTATCTCCAAATGTGATGGCAAGTTTTGGATGTTTGTTGATTGCTTACACTGTACCATTTGATTTCTTTATGGCAGTTTTAAAGACCTTTCAACAACTGATGCACATTGTGCACATTTTAGAAATTGGAAACATTGTTATTTATAAAGATAAATGTGAAAACATTATAAATTTATCAATTAAAAATGTATAAGAATAAATAAATGCAAGTGTACCAAGTGACAATTAAAAAAAAAATGTTTAGTAGTGATGATCTGCATTGTGCAATATGTAAATGTTCTCATTAAGTATAAGTTCTGGTCAAGAGCTGTTTTACGTAGGGCTCATTCCCAATGGAACTTTCATTCTACGTAGATTCATCTAACTCCGTGGGTACTCTCACTAAGTGCAATCAGATTAACACACCTCCTGGCGTTGAGCAGAATACAGAAAAGCTGGTACGAGTATGTTGGAAATGGGGAGGTGTGTTAATGTCTTAATCTGCTTCATTCAGGGAGAGTCCCCATGGAGTTGGATTGATCTATCTAGACTGATAGACTGGGTTCCCACAGATTTAGATCGATCCATCTGGATCGACCTAACTCCCTGGGGCTTCACGCTAAATTGCTGTCAGCTTCCGGGAGCCGAGCGTGCACAAAAGTTAATTACCCCCCCCCCCCCCCTTACAGCTTTTAGTAGGCGGGACAGACATTTAAGCTGGTTAAGCTGACAGCAAGCTAGTGAGACTCCCCAGGGGGATAGATCGATCTAAATATCTGTGGAAATGGTCTCATAGTTTCATGGGGATTGGGTCCATACACTCTGCTTAGACGTAAATGTTTATTCTCAACTTGAATCTTAATTATTGGTTAGAAATCACTCTTAGACTTCAAACGGTCTATTATAGAAGTGTCCATTGAAGACTGTACAAAATATACATACTGATAGGATATGGCTGTACAAAGTCAGTTTGTAGAAAGTATACTTCAGACTGGTTGCTAGGCCCAAAGAGGGGAAAATAAACATGGTATTTATGATCAAATAAAAAAATGTGAATGGATACATGACTACTTTTTCATATGATGTGGATTTTATTGATAAGTGTGAGACATACATACCGAGAAAAANTCCCGTTTTCAAACCATACCCATATGATATGACTTAGTGTCATAAAATGATAGATAATAATTGTTAAACGTGAAAAGTTTATGCTAATTTTTCTAAAAGTGTGAGAGATTTTAAATTTGTCTGCTGGTAGGTATATAACGCAAACAACGTCACTATTCTCTTGATGCCAAGAAGGTCACATGATCACACTGTCTTTTGGCTTTCAGTATTTGAGAGACCTCGACTGATTTAACCTAGATGTAGTCGTGAAATTCTAGACTACATCGAGGTTAAATCCGAGTTTTCCGAGAGACGCTACGCAGAAATGTCGAGTGAAGCGAGACATTTTTGGGTAGCGGCTCGAGGTTGCCCTCGATCTTCACTGAAGCTTGGCTACATGGACAGGCTTCAGTGATCATTATATCGCCACGGTCATACGTAAGAATAAAATTTAGTCCCAAAATATTACACGTCCCTATACTCCCGTTACCGATAGATACATAAAGGGAAAACTGAAAAAACGTCTTTTTAGATTTAAATACCGATAGATCCGATTTTTTACCACCGTCCTATAAATTTGCGTTCCTATAGATACGACGTCCTCATAAACCCACGTCCTTAAAATCCGCATACCTATAGATCCACGTATTTTTAGATCCAAATACCGATAGATCCATTACAGGTACACTATTGCTCAAAATGGTTGGTATACTTCTCAGTACATAAAATCAAGGAGTTATAACAACTCCTTGATAAAATGCACTGTTTAAAACGAGAGTACACATATTAATCCTTTCAGCAACTTATTATTCTACTATAGATCGTTTTTACGCAATACTAGGGTAATTTACATTAGGCCTACTAATGCATAATCTGACAGAAATTTATGATTTCACTAGATGTTTTGTTATTCTCATGTTACATTCATTTAGTTTTGATTACGAAGGCTTCTGACAGGAACCTAAGATTATATATTTTTTCATAGCGATTAATCCAAGAAAACACACACACACACACACACACACACACACACACACACACACACACGCGTCAATTAAGAACTGGGCAAAAGTTGATGAAATAATGTTAAGAGTTTTACAAGTAAACTCTTCTTATACTGTGTATGATTTATTTGGGCATTTCATGAATGATTCTGCCTAATAACTGTCTTGTATAGGCCTACTTGATAGAAACCATTACTGTATGGTTGACAAACATACCCAATGTTTGCAGGCAAAAATCGGCTGTATATATATAGAAGTTACTTACATCTTGGACATAATAACGAATTTGTGTCGTTTTTATGTCCAAGTAGTTTACATTGATGAAGTTACGTGCGTACATTGCGGAATGGAGTAATGATAGTAAACGATAGTAAAGACGTGTAGACGCGAACGTACATGTAGGCCTATATCTTGTTTGAACACCTAATAAATATATAAATAAATAAATATCAGGTTGTAATTAAGTCATATCTCACTGAGTGGGTCAGTACTCGCATCCAGACTATCTCTCGAAAGCCTCATACCTGTATCTCAAGTTTATATCGGCATTTTAGCCGATTAATTACGATGTCAGATAGATGGATCTAGCGGTACCTGGATCTAAAGATACGTCGGTTTATAGGAAACTGTTGGTGGATCTATCGGAACGTAAATTTAACGAGACGTAAATCTATTGAGACGTGTATGTATAGAGACGTATCTATCGGGACGAATATTTTATTGGGACGTTTATCTATATGGCGGACCCCTGTATATAACATACCCTAGGTATGTATATGATATATGCCAACTAAATAATGATGGGCCCTTTTTTCACAGGATGATCATTATTTTTTGTAAGACTGCATGATTAATGTAAAGTTTAAATCATTTACTGTGAATATAAAAAAAATATATGTGTCTGTACAGGCAGTATAGGTTCATAAACGTATATTTTATACAAGTGCTTTTGAGCAGAAGGCCATTTGGTGAGTGATACTGGGATAACATACAATTCGACAATTAGCAGAGAAATGACTACAATTTTCGGTTCCTGTACTTGTTATGGCTCTACTGTGATCCTTAGATCTAATTCAGTCCCTTGGCTCAATTTTTTTATGCATAGGAATGGTTCAGACTAGCTTCAATCAAATGCTCACAACATTTAAAGATCAAAAATCTCAATGGTGCCAAAATCACACTTCTCAGATGTTTTGTATGCATTGGTCTATTCTTTTGTACGGTAGAGAGTCGTGGACCCTCAGCACTGTATGTAAATCAGCTAATTGAGTGATGTACATTTTCAGATACTTGAAAACTCGAATTTTATTCTGGGTATATTACTGAATGACATTGTCTGGTAAGTAGAGATCTATATACAACAATAACAACTGGCACATGCTAAAAAAATATAATTTATTTTGTATGATTGTGATATCCATTCTATTTAGTAAAGTTAACAATAATAGCATATGTAAAAGGAAATGTAATACTTGGGTGTATACCTTATGTGGCAAAAGGTCATTTGGCTAACTTAAAAAAAGAAAAATAAACATACTTCCCCTCATGTAAGATCTATATGACAAAAATCTTTCAATTGAAAAGAAAAGATAAATTGTGTCAATATCAAATGTCCCAATTAAAAATTCAATTTAATCAATTTCACGTCATGCTTTACTGGCACATTTGAAGAATAAGGCGATTGTACAGCTTTTAACAAATAAGGAAATTTAAAATTATAACAAGGTTATAGTCTATTAAAGGTTAAGAAATTTCAAATAAATTGAGCAATTTCAAAGTAACCATGAAAAAAAAAAGAGGAGTGAATATCAATGTGTTGGCTACATATAATTTGCATAGCTGTAGAGAAGGAATTAAATTGATGGATTGTTGTCAACAAGCTTCTATCAAATATATTGCACTTTGCTGCCCTACTATAAAAAATCTCTCAAGAGTATTCAATGGCACATCCAAGGATTAAACTGCTGAATGAATCAACACCCAGGTAATGGGAATGAATTATTGTATGTATGCAGATGTCATTTAATAAAAATCAAACCAATGACTAATTTTAACAAGGGACAAACCACGTGCAACTTTTATGAAAAAGGTGTTTGATTTTTCTGAACATGGCATTTGATAGAAACTATATGTATTGTACATCATGTGCAAGATGATTATCATTCAATCAACCCTAAGCCCTTTTCTACAAACAGTATCATGTTAAGAAATAAAACAGTTCAAAATGGGCAAATGTGAACGTGAACCAGACTTAAAACCAGGCAAGGGATGGAAGACCAATACAAATATAACATCATCTAACCAACAGATTGTCACAATCTCCTCATCCAATATATTGCAGTCCTTGTCTTTAAAAATAAGCATTCTCTTTTTTTCTTAGACTATTGCATCTAGATTATCAAAAATGATCAAAGAAAAAGTATTTAGCATAATGAACACAGTTTCAGGCAGTTTTTTTTTTTTTTTTACAACATTCTCACCTGACTGTATCCCAATTAGGGCCCATTTAATACTACAGACCATTAGTAAATGCATTTTCTGTATGATTAAGTAGATTTTCATTTACTATGTCAATGTATTATAGACGCTTTCCTAAAACCTTAAAACAGACCACTGGGGTTCCTGTTGAGTCATGTCGCTGCACCCCTGAGATGGGCACCCACTGGGGTTCACATTATGTCATGGCACCATACCCACTGTTGGGCACCCAATGGGGTTCATGTCCTGTCATGCCACTGTACCCATGAAATGGGCACCCACTGTGGTTCATGTTCTTTCATGTCACTGTACCCAGAGATGGGCACCCACTGTGGTTCATGTTCTTTCATGTCACTGTACCCAGAGATGGGCACCCATTGGAGTTCATGTCCTGTCATGTCACTGTATCCATGAAATGGGCACCCACTGGGGTTCATGTCCTGTCATACCACTGTATCCATGAAATGGGCACCTACTGTGGTTGATGTTCTGTCATGTCACCGTACCCATGAGATGGGCACCCACTGGGGTTCATGCTCAATTCTGTACACAGCAGCACAAAGTTCAGTGAACACTGTAGTAAGTTCATCATTGACTATTGTTTTATCAAAGAAGTGACTGTAATTTTCTTCAATCTTGGATGCATTTAGAATCATTTCATGGAGTTCTTCATCCTGGAATAGATAAATATGCCACAAGCAAATGAACTTAAATTCTTCAGCAGTCTTACAAGGCTTTTTTTTTTTTACTAAACTTGAAAACTATGAAAGAACAGTGTATAGAGTATCTAGAATAATCAAAATACTTTCAATGATAAAGGCAACTGAGAAAACGTATATCGTATAAAGTGTATTAAATACCAGTTCTGTTTCATAATTCAATTAGATTCAGAAGTGATGAAAAAATGTTATGAAATCCAATACAACTGTCATTTTCCTAACAACATTAAAGGTTAAACCACTTAAGTACTCCAACAGCAATTTAGTAATTTGGACTAGTGTATATCGAAAGCCAACATTAATAAAGCAATTTCTCCCTCGTAACATCAAAGGTGAAAAAAGAAGAAAAAAAAAACTCACTGAAAATGTCTTCTGTATCATTCCATTATCTGTATTGCCTTTGGTGGTAGGGACCAGTCTTGTGTCTCGAAGCCTCTCAATGGAGGGAGGCTTGATAAAGATCACGTAGGGCTTTAACTCTGCACTTCTCAACATTTTCAGTGCCTAGAAAAATAAATTTCTTAATTAATTCAAAGATTATTTTTTCATGTTTAGAAAAAGAGGGATAACATGCTTAAGTATTTGCCAAATCATTTGGTGGGTGTACTTCTTCTTTGGGTACCATGTCAGGGATTGACGTCAGCACATCTCTCTGAAACCAATCTGATCACACGCCCGGCACAACACTTAGAAGGCACTACACCCAACAGCCGACGCCAGCCCCCAGACCCCCCTCCCCAAAAAAGTTGAGTCTCTTTCTCCCTTGTTGCCTCTTGCCAGCTTCCTTTCCAGTACTAGTTTCTCCAGCCTTAAAATAACATGGGCTACCTTGACGTCCATGGTTTATTAGATATCAATTTTTTATTTCCTTTGATCTTTATGACAATGGAAAGCCATTATGTTTCCCTTTATTCCATCTGTACGCACACGTATTATATAAGTAAACCATTACCAGTTAGCGTTGAATGACAGATTAATAGTGGAAATCTATTTTCTTTTACGTAACTTTGACGCTAAATGCAATACTGGGGCATATAAAAATGCCATAATAAAAGCTCTGATGGTTATTCTATTCTTAAAGATGCTCATCCGTCCCAAATCTTTCAATACTTTGACATCTAGCTACTGATTATCAAACTCATTTTACTGCTGAAATGACATCCTAGTGAAAAATCAATACCATATCTTTCCGTCATTTACCTGACCTTTTTTCTTCTAAATTCTGTTCAAGAAATGTGAACTTATTATTGATGAAGTTATTAAAATAAATTGCTCTGAAATGACTGTAAGAAGATTACATCTCTCACCTTTCATTTTAATCTAAGAGATCTTAAATGGAGTGTCATATGACTGAATAATTTATCTCATGATGTACATTTAGCATGTAATATATTAATTGCTTTTTTGAAAAAAATTCCACAATCAGCCATGCATATTGCCATTTAATAAGAGCTGAAATCCTAATTATCACAAAAAAAATATTTCTGACGACATGGCTCATTTTTCTGGCCAGAAATAATGGTCCTAATTTCAGTGGTAAAATTGCTCTCGCCTAGGTAGTCATTTGAGAGTCAGAGAGCATGAAACAGACTGAGGGGTTATCAGGACCACTCATCTCGTAATTAATCGTCTCTTTTAACCTCCTGTATATATCCAAAAGACAGTTAAAGGTAGCGACAGAATGCCCTGTACTTGAAAGGAGTCTCTACTGCTGAGGGATATTCAATATAACTGTCAAAGCTAGTGCACATTCTACTTAGTCTAGTTCTACTGCTGAGGGTGTAGTTGGAGATCCATAATGCAGGTAAGTGGAGAAGCCATGCATTGTAAATTGAATATATATGGTCTGATAGGAAACTAAGCATGTTTTCTTTTCTCAGTGTTATCATGGCCCAGTGTTATGCGTTATATGAGAGCTAATCTACACTTATTTATTATTTATTTCAACATTTTTATTGGTTATAATAAGCTGAAAACCTTTTCATTACAAATTCATTTTTTTTGCTATGTTACCTAATAGATAATGAGTTATTTTTTATGCACATACAAAGGAGAATTACAATGAACAACTGACTGAGACAATTCTATTCAAATAGAAAAGTGATTTCCATTATTGTTATTAAAATAAACTTCTTTTTCGTCTATTGTTTTTATTCATTCAGGCTACAAAATGCTGGGTGATTATTGCACTCTGTTCCACGAGGGTGACTTTGGTAGATCCAGCCACCACTTTTGTCATCAATTCTTATCCTGATTCAAAATATACCACAGGTACTCTTCATATCTCTTCTACATGTAAATTACAGGCTTTAATAATAACGGTATTTTCCACATCAACTATCATTATCTTAAGCTCCATCAAAGTCTACACAATGATAAAAAGTAGGGCTATTATTTCCTCGACTCAATCTCACATTATCAGCATACTTTCCACAGTATGGAACCACAAAGGAAATCTTAGAAATACTACCTGATGAGAGTTAAAATTCTTTGATCTTATCTGAGTTTGTTTACTGGATTTTAATTACAGATCCTACCAGTACTAGCACTTCAACAAATCCCTACAGCACAAATGACAGAAACTTAGACGATGCAACCACAGCGAAGGACAGGCTCGACTTCTCTTTGCCTGATATGCCTATTCCATCCTCCTCTACATCTCCCCTGCCACCGATGGGAACCACACCTTTCAATCAGAAAACGTGGCAAACTGCTACACGTCCAGCAGAGGTCCAGCCTCTCGTCCAGTCAGAACTCACTCTAGAGGGCGCTGGTTTACAGCCTACCAGACAACAGCAGATCAAAGGAAAACACAATCGAAAATTGAAAGGTTTTTCTGCAGTCCAGGCTAAATTCATCTGGCTCTTTGGATCCAAAGATGAAGGAGTTGATTATGAGAAAATGTTGGGAAATTTTGGTGTTGCAGTCGATTTTCACAAAGAATTTTCTAAAGAATCAGCAGCAGGCATCTATCACATGAATGCCCTAGATGCAAATGAAGATGACTTTCATTTGCTGAAAAAACTTGCTCTTAGAAAACTGAAAGAATCTTTGCTGAAACAAGGCATTTCAAAAATAAAACTGAAGGTCAAATCAATGATTTCAAAGTAAGCAACAGCATAAATTTTGAACAAAATATGTAAATGATTAGGTCAATGATGAGAGTCAAAATGTATCTAAAACATTTACTGGTCAATGTACTAGTAATTGTGCATTTTGGGAAAGAAAATTTTTCAATTTTATTCTAAATCATCTTCATGACAGTGACAGGTTACTCTGAACATAAACCTGCCTCTGAAATAATTGAACCTACAGATCACCAAGTATGAGGCGTCATACCTTCAGGCTTAGGATATTTATGTTATTGATGTTATTGTTGTTGAGTTAAATAAAAAAAATTGCACATTCTCTTGAATTTTATGTTTACATGTTTACAACTCACATAACCTCAACATGTAAATGCTCCGTTGTAACTTATTTCTACCACCTTAATTACAATGTGTACGTGTGTGTTTGTGTGTGTGTGTGTGTGTGTGTGTGAGAGAGAGAAGCTAATACTAAAATAGTCAACTGCATTTTTCTTCTAAAATAAAATTTAAGTCAACTTGTATCAAGGACCTCTGAAAGTCTAGTTATAAATAACTTGAATAATTTCACTGCTTTATTTGTGGACATCCTTTGGCTATAGATGCATAAATTGTGCACAACTATTAGCATATATTATCACTTAAGAAAGTAAAGAGATCAAGATTATTAAATTAAATCAAAGTTTCATAAATAAATAAATGAATTGGAAGACCAATAAAAATATATATTTTTTTTTTGACATACACACACACACTTCAAACTCAGGAGTAATCTAATTCCCAAGCACATGCAATTCCATACACATAAATACAGTATCTATTTCTTTAAGCTTACCTGTGGGTGTGGTGTGAGAACACAGACTTTCCCTGCATTGAGAGCACTGGTTATACTCTCTATACTAGTACCATACAGGTTGCCCTTGTATTCTCCATACTCCACAAATCTGAGAAAACAAAACTTAATCAGCATTTATGATATGAGTGAGAAAAAAAAAGCTGTGTTCACAACTGGACCACTTTGGACCATTTGTGAACACAACCTCATAATGAAGTACTGCTAGTTAAGTGGTTTTAAAATGATGCTTGTTCAGGGTTAATTTTATAGAATGTAGATTGTGTAACAAACATGGCTTCAAAATCTATCTATTACTGAAAAAATATAATACATATGTACTTTGATGTTGAGTATTGATAGTATAATTTTGATTTTCTAAATATGCACTTGTCCAGCCAATGTGATACATGAGCTAGCTGGCATTGTTCAAGCTAAGATGCTTCATCAAAAACTATCATTATATAGCTTTTAAGGCAGTGAAGACAATACAGAATATACTTCAAAGATAAAAGACTAAATAAACTTCATTTATGCCACACAAACCTTCTTTCTGCTATTCTCCTATCCATTTCTGTTCTGGAGACAAAATAATACTCCTTACCGTCCACTTCAGATGGTTTCTTGGAACGAGAAGTGTCTATAACACATACAAATAGAAACCTTTATTCTAATATCAAATGAAACCATTCTTTGGTATGCATACAAAACTTATAAATGACATCCTGGGGTAGCGCTAACACTCGCCAATTTAGCCAAATGCTAAAACTGACCTAAACTGGCTAAAGAAAAAGGGCTTGATTTGACATGTTTTAGCCAAATTATAACCATTTTGATAACAAATTGACAAAAATGTGGTGATATGGCTAAGCGAAAAAAAATTGCTAGCGCTACCCCAGACATCATTATTACATATTGCATGTAGTCCTCTGTGAGTTTGCAGACTAAATATATATGAAGAACCTGAAGTACAGTTCATTTTTGATGAAAGCAATGCTTTGCATCATGTAATAAAGTCAACTCACGTGGTATTGTGGCTGAGAAATGTTCTGGGTTGGAAGTTATAAGACGTCTTTTTAATTCATTTCTCCCTGCACCAGGAGGCCCTGAAACAGCATAATAAAAACATTACAATTAACATAACATATGCTATTCAACACAAGATTATTTCATTTAGTTTAATTTACAAATGTAATAGGGTTAAACATTATTACGAAAGAATTCCCGCCCTTTTGGCAGTCACGTGAGCTCACAATTCTTTGTTAGTCATGTGACCAGGAAATATAAATTACCCGCTCAACAGTATTCTGGGGTCATTTTACTCACACTGTCACATTGGTGTGTATGTATGTACAGGAATAAAATAGCTGATACTTCTGAGATGCAGTAGATGTTTGTTGTGATACTCGGTTACACAAATACCAAAATAACATTAGTAATGAAACATCCAAATCCAAACTCACCAATGAGTACAATTGGTCTGTATCTGCCAGATTCTGGATAATATTTTTCAACTTCTTCATAGGTGATAATTTCAGCATTGTCAAAATCTGGAAATAAATCATCAACAGTTTCAAAACTCCACAGATATTTTCAGCATTGTCAAAATCTGGACATAAATTACAAGAGCAGCTGAAGATTGTTTTTCATTCTGCAGTGCAGAAAAGGCATGGGTAAAAATTGTGAAAATCATGTCATTTAGGCCATATGAAAAAGAACGATCAAAATGAAGACTAAAAATCTGGAAATCAGGCATAATCCTGAAAACTTTCAACCATGAAAAAAAATTTTGTGATGAAACTACAATTCTACATTTCTTACCAGAGCTATTCTCAGACTGGTACATAATTTTCTTGGTTTTCCTTGCTTTCCTACCATCCAAAGAGCCATTCATTGTTGAACTCCTGATGCCCTTGTTTTCTCTCTCTCTGTACAATCCACCATCTAATGTGCCAACTGTCCGTCTCATGGCCTCTTTTCTGAAACATGGAAGACCACATTTAGATTTGAATACTCGACTGCATGACTTGAGCAGTACCATTGAGGTTTTGTAGTAAATGCATACTCAAGTATGTGAAATACTAAAAGGCTGTCTAATGTTACCTGTTTACTTAAAATGATAAAGCTAGCTGTCAATTTTAGAACCAACATAGTTAACCATCATACCGTAACGTTATATTAATCATAACAGTATGGTATCAAAACAAGGTCAAACAGTGACATTATCATTTGCATATTTTTCTTGGACATATCATTCCTGTATCCTCCGAAAGGATGAAAGAACACCTTCAGCCAGTCTGAAACAGGTGCAAAAACTACCAGGCATATTGTGATCCATTGTAAACCACAAAGAGAAATAGTACAGAGAAATACATAAGAACCAGACTTCACTTTTTTAAAAACTTTTGAATCCCCCCACCTTTCCTGTAACTGTTTCCCAGGTATGAGTCCTGCCCTCATGTTCTTGTCCCCCTCCCTCCTGGCCTGCCACCAGTTCAGGTCAGTCTGGTCCACTATGTGCAGGATGTCCCCCTTCTTAAAGGGCAGTCCCGCTTCTCGACAGGGAATGAGGGTGTCCTTGAAGGGGTCATAGTTGAAGTGAGCTCGCATTCGAACCTGAGGATGCAAAAGGAAATGGATGTTAATCGCTGCAGATTGGAATCAATGAGAACTGAATATGCCCAAGATATCCCCATGGCTTTAACTTAGTGTATTGTGAGTGGACATTAACTTTAAGTGGACATACAAAATATAGGAGCAGCCAAAGCAGTTGTCATGAATGTAAATGTGTTCTATCTTCGATTCTTAGACATTCATTTGGCTGTTGATGATGAATGTTACAAAAAGAATTGTGAGACGTACATTGTAGAAATATGTGTAAATTGCACAGACTGAGTTACATTCAAAGATTCAGGTTTTCAATTCTGCCTCACTTTTTAATGCACACATTTGCATTATAGTGTTTTATAGGATATACAAGATCTTGTCTTTAAAGTGATAGTCATTGAAATCCTGCTGCTTCAAAATTAGTGCAATATCACAAAGTCAACTTCTAGGGGGTATGGTATATTGTGATACAACAATTACACAAACAAGGGCAGACGTATATGAAAAAGAACAACTTGCCCTGCTTTCTCTGTATATTTTACTATCCACATTGCTGGGCACTAGTTTAAGAGTAATGGGACCCTGCGCAGCTGCCTGAAAATCACAAAGTTGTAAATTATTGAGAATGTCTACATTTCTCTCAAACGATCACTTCATCAAAAAATGAAAGTGATGAAGTCCCTCTCTTCTCAATACTCATTTTTAGAACTGCTAGGCTCTCTGCAAACAACCATTGCATTTATCTTTGTCAAAGCATTTGAATTGCATCAGATTGTGGAATCATCAGGGGAATGTATGAGGAATGTATTTTTCAGATACAATCTTTGCATAATAGATGAATTTTTGTTGATATCTTTACATAATCTAAGATCTATTCTTGTATGTATGAACGACTTTACCACTTATCTGGAAAGTGTTTTTCAAATTTTACCGTCATATAAACCTTATAAAGCCGCTTACCAGTATTTGTACGACATCATCTGGATCTCTGCCACGGACATTGATTCCATTTACTTCATGGACTTCATCTCCAACATGAATTGATCCTAAAAAAAAAAAAAAAAATTAAAAGTAGTCAGTTGAAAGCATATGATTAATATTCCAACAATGATAAACTGTCAAAAATATCTAGAACTTATCATTACAAGGGAAAATGAAAATATTTTGATTGAGTGTTACATGTTATCTATGAATACCACACTACAGAGTCTAATTAAATACTATACAAGAACTACAAGAAATGTGAATGAATACGGAAATCTGGGTTCTTAAATGACTTACCACTTCTGTCAGCTGCTCCGCCCATCATCACTCTAGCAACATAAATCATACCCGTTTCTTCATTCAATCGTATCGTAGCACCCTGTACAGATAAATATTACTCATGATTTATTTTTGATATTCATAGTTAATAATATAACACAAATGTTCACTGAATACTATGTACAGTGCTATAGTATGCTTTTGCTAGCATATTAATAGTTTTTACCTTTGTTAGTTAACAGCCATTTACTAGATGATCCATTAATAAATGAAATAATAAACTAATAAGGGGAATTGATCTTTCTTAGCAGAGGTCTGCACTTTCTGGGTCTTTATCTGGAGTTATCAAATTCACAATAAAATTTATATAAAAGCCAAATCTGTTAAGTAAAATGCATTTCAAACCCACCAGAGGATCGTTTTTCCTCATGATTCGTACAATTTTCACTGCACGGTTTTCATCTTCATCAACTTCATGTGGAATGGAAGGCAGTTGTGGCACATAGTCCTGACATGCAACTTTGTCTTGGGCTGTCAGCAAAGCCTTCAATGGGAACATAATATTTACAGTTTCATTCAGCCCAGTAGTAAAATTTAATATAATTTACTGTCAGACAAAGGTGATTACTGCTTTAATTTGTATTACTAACTTGGGCAAAAAAAAAAATCCAAAATTCTGATTTATGACTAAAAAATACTTAATTTTCCTCCAAGTTATTCGCTATTTTTTTGTTTTTATATTCAAACACCCCTTACGCATTCAAACACCCCTCATTTGGTTCACACTGCTTTATATCTCAAAATAACATTGAAATACCATATAAAAGTGAAATGTATCTACCTTAAAGTGTGGACTGAGTAACAGATCGAGCAGCTGTCTAACCTCAGAGGTCAGGGGATGCGTCCTCAGCTCATCGTAGACCTACAGTACAGGGAACACACACACATGAATGAAATAAGATACTGGGACCTTCCCAAGGAAGAATACACATACATCTAGCTATAATTGTGACTTGCAAAGAGCTTTTTGAGGTGAGAAATATAAAATATGATAAATAATAATAAAACAAAACTAAGCATCCTCAAATCAAAGTTTTATTTTAGAAGGAGGCTTTAAACCTTAATCCATTTATTATTTAGAAAGTGGACATCCTATCAAGACACTCATTTCGTAGAGTAATTTCTTATCAGTTTGCAAGGAACATGATTTCAAATTCAGAAGCCAATGTTTACAATATTGCAAAGACAACATTCAGTTTCATCTCACTGTATAGCCAGCTGAAAAGCTTCCATTCAACGTAACCATGTACTGTAACCACCACCAGTGAAGCACTGCACCGTGTACAACTGATAGTTAACATTGATAATCAATCAATCCATCGTTCACAATGTAGTTGTTACTGCTGCATGACTGAGCCCATAAAGCACGTACTGATTTAGTTGATTTAGACCAATGCAGTCTTTGTTCAGGACCAAATGGCCATTATTCAGAGAGAGCACTGTTGACTACGTAGGATGGGCAATAGTGCATCTCTTTCATACTGCACTGAAGCTGATGCGGATAATTCAAATGTCACACATTCCCTGTATGGGGAAATGCTGACATGTACAAAACCAACAGCATTATACTGACAGGCATGCAACTTTGTAAGTTCAAAAGTTGAGAGAGGGGTGTCTTTTTCTGAGAACCTATTTCAAAAGAGAGGATGTTTTCTGGCTAAAGGGGAAGTTCTTACACCCCCCTCCCAAAGTCCTGTCTACAGGCCTGAATATATTAAGAGACAACAATATAACTTGTCCTTTTTATCTGAAGATGTTAAACATCTACATAATGAACTGGCATGTATTATATGATGGCCCAAGCCAACACTGATAACTATCAAAAACTGTGTTTTACTTTTAAACTCCTGAACTGTACACTACCATATAGTGCTATGTATACCTGTGCAGCAATCTGGAAGCTATTTCTGGCCATTGGTTTGAGGTCCAGGTGTTCTTGGGAAGACACTTTGTGGTGGACCTACGAGGAATATATGATATTATCAAATTATCATACTAATGAGGTGCACAACTTTTTTATAATTTGATCACTTCCCATTAAATTGGGCATGGAAATGTTATCAAATGACATAAGAAAAAAAAAAGAGGTATAGAATAGAAATATACTGACATTGGCTGACTGGCAAGTACCTTTTAATCATCACCTTTGTAAAAATTGATACAGAATGCAAAAACAGTTACATGTAGGTAGAAAAATATTTAATTAAGCTAGCCTACAAAATAATTCTGGATAAAAAAATATCAATGCCCAATATTAGCTGTTACAATAATGAAGAACTAGGTTACATTTACAAATTAGTTCTTATCATAACATTCTGGCATTGCCACTGACGCTTCAGTTCCTCAGCCATTAAGTATATCTTATTATTATCCTAATGCAAACTGCCTGTTTTCCATTCACACCTGTGGTTCAACAAATATAACGATAACACAAGTCATGTCTTCATTAGGTAGGCCACCTGTTTCAAGTTGAAAATTACTCGGCTTTTTTTTCAAGTATTTGGTAATAAACCTCTCCCTTTTATTTTCACAGTTAAAAATAACCTCATACATTTATTATTTTTCACTCGAACTTTTTCTTAATTTTTGAAATAGGCTTTGTTTATCACTTGTTACTTGGTTTAATGTATTGTTCACCTGTAATAAGGCCTGGAGGTCCTGACTCTGAAACATTCCTCTCAAAAACATAAGATCCTTCTCTTTGCCTGTGCCTCTGCTGCTGATCTGATCCAGAGATTTCAGCAGACGCTGCACTCCTGAAAAAAAAAAAAAAACAGTTTTCACAAAATACCACCAACTGACGCTACTTAAGCACTTGACCACTTTCAACCACACACCTTTCTTTAATTTTGCCCTCTCCTGCAGTTATCAATCAATTTCATAACACCTGCTTGGCTGCATAATGATCAATAGGTTTAAATTATGATCAGTCGAGCCTGATAGAATACATTCAGTGTTGTTATCCTCGAAGGCAAAAAACAGAAATGAAAACCTCTGGCACCTTAAAGAAAACAAATAATGTGCTTTTCTAGGGTGACTGCTTTATCCACTCCAACATTTCAAATGTTAAAAAATCACAACCTGTTGAATACAGGAACACTTCACGCAATGATAATTTTAACATTTTATTTAATTATTTTTACAATTAATCAACATATACATTTCCTGTCGACTAATCTAATCCCCCTGTCAAATTTGAGTTTAACTTGGTCATTTTTTACAACTCAATAAACAATCATTTTGATTTTGTACAACCCCTCCCCTGCCACTAAATAAATAAATAAATAAATAAATAAATAAATAAATTTTGTTCTCACCAGGCTCTGGTCCCCCTTGTCTGGTGTTATTCACTGCAGCAGGCATGACGCAGCACAGGGAGGTCTGCTTTCTGGAACCACCTGCCTTCTTCAACCTGCAATAAATCCAACACAGTGGTTCACTTTTTGGACATTTTAAACATGGCTCCTAGCATAGCACAAAAACATGGACATGAAAGCAGAACGTGATGCCATAAATTTGCCAAACTTAAACTCTTAAAAACCAACTTTTTAGTGTCATGAATTTGAGATGATTAACACTTTAAAAGTGGCTTTCTCATTAAAAATGTTATTGATCATATTATAGATACTACTTTAATGCAAATGATAAAGAAACTTTAAAAAAAGAAAAAGAAAGACTTTCAAGTTCTTTAACATCATATACAATCAGACAAGTTTCTGATCATAAAAAATCTTAACTAAAACAGCATATTATTAAAATAAATTACATTTCAGTCTTCTGTAATCAATGGGTAATGTAACCATTGCATTTCTCAAAGGTATAAAGCAACGATTACGAGTTTTAACTTTATCATTAAGTTAAATTACAAAATATACCCCTGTATCCTGTTTAACCTTTTTTCTTCTATGGAGATGTAACTTCTCCATAAACACAACACAGATTGTCCCATATTTACTGTAAGGTTTTAATTACACTGTTTACTGGTGCTAGTATGTGAAATAAACCACATCCCCCCCAAAAAAAAAAAATTTTTTTTTTGTTTCCAACGACAAAAAGTTTTTGGCATGCATTAGTGCCTCTGATGCACCATAAACAAAATCATCCCATCCCTGAACCATGATATAACACATGACCCAACCACTTCCACTGCTACCACAAAATAAACAACCATCTTTTGTGCTGTCACAGAAAAAGTTTGTTTGCACTGATTTGCACATTTGTGTATTCACAAAAAGTGAGAGGCATAAATATATTTATTACTAAGACAACATTCATTCCGGAAGAATGGTAAAGGGAGTATTCTGGACAGTTGTAAAGAATTAACAAGGAAAACACAGCAGAATTCTTGGTTTACAATGATAAAAGACAGCAGTGTCCAGATAACATACTCACACACCTGCTTGGTTCCAATCGCAAATGCTCAGAAAAGGACAATGCATCTATATATACATGGATATGTTTACACCACTGAGCAATATATTGCTTTCTCTTTCTCTCTCTCACTCTCTCTTTCTCTCTCTCTCTCCAAAACAGACATATTGTACCCCCTCACATGTGCCATATATGGCTCTCATACGCCACCATTAAGTATTTGATAAATACTTCAATGAAATGTACCAAAACTCCACTGCTGAAATTAAGATATTTCATTTACTGATGCAATTACTGCACAGGTTGTTATAAAACATTCAGCATATTCATCTTTAATGCAGGAACAACAGTCTTTTCCTGGTGGCACTTATCAATTGCAATTATGTTCTTGTTGTTTGTTGGCCTTCAAAAATTACTTCATTAGAAAGAGGCTTGACACATTACATACTTCAGAATATAAAAATGTACAGGAAGATCATTAAACAAGTAAATGGTGAATGTAGTTTTGATTTAAAGAATTCAATATCATGTTAATCTATTCCTATGCTTCACTTTTTTGTGTGAAAAGAGAGGAAATATTCACTTGACAGCTTTGGTTCAGCGTAAATACTTCTAGTAAGTGCTGCAGAAGCATTTTATTTGCAAATGTACCTATAGGCCTTGATTTCCCGTGGCTGAAAATCACGCTTAAATTCAGTAATGGAATACCCAACTGAAACTACTAGTTTTTGAAAACCAGAAACTTCTGCTCAAGGTTTCGATCAAAAAGACTCTAAATTAACCAACCTTTTTGCTACTTCTCCCTTTGCTCTTTGACACCTCTCATTTTCCAAAATCAGCGCAACCTGACACTGCAAATAGGAGTATGCTGCCATCCTTGGGCACGGCAAAAATCTATTTCCATGTATTTCGTCTTCCTTCTCAACTGCACAAACTGCGCCCAAGTGAAACTAAGCCCAAACCAAGCAAAGTTGGACTTTGAACTGCGTTGGTTTACATGTGTGTTATTAATGCACATTGAAAAGGACAGAGAGCATAAATGCTGGCTCTTTCCTCTACAACCTAAACATCCTACATCTAAGAAAACACCCCATACTTCCAGGGGCCAGTTGTGGTACTTTCTGCAAATTGTATAAGCTGTAACTGGAGCACAACACTGATAATGGTAGAAATAAGAGAGAGCTTGTGAATGTCACAACAATAAAATACTGGCACTTTCAGATATCAATGTTCATTTCCTCCATCTATCGGTCAGGATGTCAAAGACATTTCCTTTCAATTTACCCGTCCATGTAATTGACTGATCAAAGTGGAACTGTTGAATTATAATAGGAAAGCAGACCTGAGGGCCATTCCAAATGAATGTGGAGTTTTCACTTAATTTACACCTTTATGTTTTCAGGAGAGTTTGTTTAATCTGAAATCACTGACAGAGATACAAGTTACTTAGGGTGCTTTCCCAGAGATTTAGATCGATCTAGATTTAGATCAACCTAACTCCCTGGGGGTTCACGCTAAATTGCAGTCAGCCGAGCGGGCACCATAGTTAATTACCCCCTTACAGCTTTTAGTAGGCGGGACAGATGCATAAGCCGGCCAAGCTAAAAGTAATCTAGTGAGACTCCCCACAGGGATAGATCGATCTAAAAATCTATGGAAATGGGGTGTTACTTTCAAAGAATGCAAGTACTGACAAACCCTGACAATATTTAGTGAAGCCAATTGTTTATCTAAATCAAATGTCAAACCTACATGTGACTCTCTCATATAAACACAAATTTGTGAGCTGTTTATATTTTTCTCTGAAGAAAATTTCTATGGCAGTCTTCCATATAAAAATTTGTCTGCAGATGTTTTTTTTTTTTTGCACTTGGTCATAAAAACATTTAGCATGGTTTCAAAATTTTGCCAGGCCTGAGCAAGTGGTCATATCTCTTTTTACTGATAAGATAAACTTTTAAAAATAACCACCGACTGGCTGGTTTTGAACCAATAATTTAATACAGCAGATTTAGCTTTACTGGCCCAAAGGACTTCTCTCTCTCTCTCTCTCTCTCTCTCTCTCTCTCTCTCTCTCTCTCTCTATATATATATATATATATATATAAATATATATATATATATATGTTTACCTGAGAGAAGAGTACCAGACAGAACAAATAAGGCATTTTATCTTTAGCTAAAGATATAAATTAATAAAGAATTTCTGCTCTTTTTTAGGATGCAATTCCATTTTCCTATATAAGGCGCAGCAGTTTATTTGCATAAGAAAGAAGCTCATCCATTGTGAACAGTAACACATCAATGAACAGAAAATATTATCTATAAATATTTAAACTAAAACATCTATTTATGCTTTAATTATGATTTTGTCATGAAGATTTTTATCCAGACCAGTTGATTGAAATCTGGGGAAAGGTGTTTCTATTAACATCATAATCTTAATAAGAAATATTCTAAAAAACATTAAAAGAAATTGATGAAATATGAGCTTTCTTCTTAAAAAATTATCTAAGAGTTGCCAAGAAATTATATTAAGGCATTATAATTCAATGTCAGTTATAAGAAATAATGAGTTACTAGCAAGACAACCCCTGCTGATGTTATTTTCTAGAGAATATCATTATGCAATATTTCATTGCTGATATATCTGTGAAGTACAAAATATGAAGCCATGAATGTGCAAATTTCACTCTAATGCTATTATACCAGTGTTCAGTTAAATTCATCTCTGCAGAATGGAATCTGTCTTTCCACCAGCCATGCATAAAAGGGGTGCAAACTAATAGCTTAGTGTTATAGGCCAAATGGTTCAGCCACATTATGAAAAGTTACTCTAAGCAAACAGGAAGAGCCTTGTTTTTCTCAAAGGAAAAGACAGGCAGGCCATTGCTGAAGATAAGAATTCTGACATTTTTTTATTGTTAACTGTTATCTAGATGTTTCCTTCCTTTTCTAGTGTGCAATGGTAATATGTTTAGAACACACACAATGAGAGAGAGAGAGAGAGAGCACAACACATTTGTTGTAAATCACATTATTTCCCTAAGTGTGCATCTTCGACTATTAAAAACATACCCAAATTTTGAAATAACAATATTTCAGAGTGCATTACTTCATGGAAAATGTAAAACCAAGCATCAATACACACAGCACGCATCTCAGGAAAATTACCAAAATATGTTCACCTTTACACCTACCTGCTGTTTACCTGTGTATGTTAACAACCCTCACCTGTGGGAGCATGTGTCCACGGATGAAGTTTGCTTTTGTGAAACCTCATCAATCTTAAACTTCGGCTATACTGTTACTGTATACAAATGCCAACTCTTCCAAATATGTGCCAATACTATAAAAGTTTGTCATGTTTCTTTAAGTGGTAAATCATAAACAGAATAACTTATTCCGGAAAGAACCTCTCCTGCAGTCACTTCAAGGCTGCAGTACTAATTAAGTTATCAATTTTAACCTTAATGTCATATGTATGTTTTTTAAACAAGAACACGGCACACTTGTACTATGCCACAGACAATATGCCTAAATCTCATAATACTTCCCCTTCAACTATACATGTGCTACTACATATTTTACCTTTTTACCGTTTCTTCTCAAAAACAAGACAACAATGAACAACAATAGCGAATACGTTTCCCTATATCTTGCTGACCTAGCTCACGCACCTTATTCAAAACATTTACTCATGTCTACTGAAGCGAGCATTCAAAAATCACTGCCAGCATCTACTCATCTGCTGTTAAAGATTTAAGTTAATGTTTCCCTCGAGCAAGAGATGTAACCACTAATTACCTGTACTTAGAGATCATCCTTAATCAATGGTGAGAGAATTAACTGCTGCCACAGATAGTTCTCTGAGAAAGGAGCATCTTCTGCGGCTCTGGGTTCGCTTCAACCTCTGCCGTCTTGCCCCGACATCAAAAACTGTTACACAGCTTGGCTGTCAGATATAAACAACCTAATTTCCTTTGAGAACACAGGCACACCATCGGACCTCTTGGTGAATAATTGAACGCTGTTATACTTCCAATTATGAAATTCCTATTTCGTTGGCAACAGGGCAGCCGAGCTTGAGAAAGTTTGGTTGTTTCAGCTGTTTGCTTGGGATTTTTGACTAAAATACAGTTTCAGCACAGCATGATTGCAGCACACTTTCCTGATATCATCTTACCATCACTTTTTCTATTCAAGGCAATATATTGCAGGAGAAAATGCATCAAATTTTAGTTAGTCCATAAATCAATGAAAAACAGATCTACCATTCAGGTCTCAATTGGAATTATCTAAATTACATCAGACCATTTTCATCAGACCATTTTCTTTTCAACATTAACAATTCACAAGAGAAACCCTCTTGTTACTTTATACCAAATTTTCCAATTATAACAACAAATGCCACTTATATTTGCTGTTTTGTGTGAGAGCCATACTCCCTAGCTTTACATTTTTGAAAGATAAATATCCCCATGGCTGTATATAAATCAATATAAGCCCACTTAATAGTTAATGGAACAATACACCAGTGGGTGTGTTAACAACCTATATACTGTAACAGTTAAAAGCAAATCTTTTGGTCAAAGTTATTGAAAATAATTTCTCTAAAATATATGGAAAAGGTAGGATCATCTGATCAGTCTTTAATACATGGCATGCTTTCTTAGGTGTCATCAATGAAACAGGGGTAGGGTGGGGTAGGGAGGAGTGTAGTGGGGTGTGAGGTTGGGGGGTAGAGGGTTTTTAAGGACCATTCCCAGACCCTATTCTGGGGTAGCGCTAGCAATATTTTTCGCTTAGCCAAATCACTACTTTTTTGTCAATTTGTTATCAAAATGGTTATAATCTGACTAAAACAAGTCAAATTAAGCCCTTTTTATTTAGCCAATTTAAGTAAGTTTTAGCATTTGGCTAAATTGGCGAGTGTTAGCACTACCCCAGCTATTGTACTAACTGTGGATCGATCTATCTCCAAGGGGATTCTCACTTAATTGCAAATAACTTAAGCCGCTTATATGTCTGTCCTGCCTACTGAAGCTGCTAGGGGGTAATAAATTATTGTTTAGCAACTTCAGTATGCACGCCAGACAGCTAAGCCACTTACGCTGAAAGCAATTTAGTGAGGAACCCCTCAGAGATGGATCGATCCTTTTGGATCGATTTAGGTATGGAAACCCAGTCTTACTCATCTAAAATGATGTCAAAGGTGTACAATGTAACTTCCCTGAGTTCAGCAGTCAGAACATTGTGTTTGGCCATCAGCACATAAGCAGAGGTCAAGATTATAAAGGAGATAGGACAGCAGGTGGTTGCTATCAAGCCTCTTATTCTTTACATAATATATCAGGTTTGACCAATCTGAACAAAGAAATAAAATTTTAGAGTCCTCAATGAATCTTAGACTTCTTTGACATATTTAGAAATATAAGCTACAAGTATTACAGTTTCCACAAAAAGTCTTTTTAAATGGTGTGAATGAAACCTACAGCAATATGCCTGTGGCATGCCAACTACCACAATCTGAGCCCTAAGCCTAAGCTAGGTCACCTGTGCATAGTAAGTGTACACTTAAAACAGTACAAAATATGTTGGGGATAATGATAAATGCCTGGTTTTAATATGTCAAAATGCTTTATGAAAACTGCAAAGAAATATCATTCTTAAGTCAAAGATCTAATCTTGCACCAATGACTTCAGTAGGGTTAATTGATACTTCTTTCTGTAACTCCAAAATATTAAGAAAAAGACAGTAAATGACCAGACATTACCATTTCATTATTTTTTAGGCATCAAAAAGTAATTTTTCCCTCTAAAAGGAAAAAAGGACAGGGCATATAACACGTAACAATCCATTCCAGGGTATTTCCTCCTCCAAACATATTTTTTTCTATATATATTTTTGAAATCAACTTAAGAAAAACATATTTAGCACCTGCACTTAATGTTTCTTACAGTCAATTAAATAAGTGAGTACAGAAGTGCGTAAAGAAAAGGAAAAGATGTTACCATTAAGGGGAAAACAGCCTTAAACACACATTTTTATTAAAAGAGCATATAAATAAAAAATTTCATGGTATTACAGTTACAGTAATAGTTGTCAAGATGTCATAATGGAACTATGTTTTGCAAGTACAACTCTTATATTACTACCAATTGGTAAAAACCTTGTCTGCTTATAGGTTTTATGAAGATGTATAAGTACCATTTTGCATATAATTTCTGCTAAATCCCACTTTTTAAGCTAGCAGCGGACTTACTCTCC